TCCCAGGGCCCGGCTCTGGCTCTCAGGGCGGGGAGGATGCACTTGTCTGTGGGGTCCAACAAGTTTATGGAGGAAACACCGGCTCCCTCGCCCTTTCAAACAGGCCACCTGCTTCTCGGGCGTCCACCCAAGCCCCGCTGTCTGGTGCAGAGGGCACAAACCCACGCAAGGGTCTCAGTCACAACTGTTGGAGGCATCAGGACGTGTTTTGGCCAGAATGATCTGCCTGTCTCAGGCCATTTGCTTAGTCTGACTCAGAGTAATAAATCAGGAGTCTAGACCGACCCTCGCTCAATCCTGGTGGCGGTGGGCACGGTGACACACTCACGGCATGTCCCAGCTCTGACTGCGAGCCGTCGGGCGCTACCGGGAGATCACCAATAAATAAAACCCAGTGAGAAGAGGCAGGCAGGGGTGCTTAGGACCACTGTGTCGGGGCCTCAGCCTGGAAGAAGAAGGGGGACACGTACACACGCACACACCGAGAGGCTGCGTGTGGGCGCCCACAGCGCTGTTCCTGCGCACTCGCTCTTCCTCGCGGTTCAGCCTGCGGAGCCCACGAGGACCCTTCGGATGGGCCGGAAATCGCCTTCCCGTTGGGCCCCGGAAAGAAGTGAGGTTTGCCGGCTGTGGGTATGGGTGCGGGAAGGATCCGAGGACTTCCGAGTTCACTGAGCTGGTCTAGACGGAGCCGCCTTCCCTTGCTCAGCCCGCGCCTCTACCCGTGACATCCGGGTTCCTACCGAGCCCGGTGGCTCTCCGTGCAGGCCAGGTGCATGCCGAGGTCTGAGTCCTTGCAAGTCCCTGTGCACGGCTCTGGAACGTGCCGGGAAACAGTGCGCTGTGGCCCGGAAACAGAGCATCCCGCTCCCGGGAAGTCAGGGGAAAGTGCGGCCTCTGTGCACGTGTCCCTGCCCCCCGTGTGGGCAGCAGCCCGATGGACGCTTTGCTGCCAGGGGCCGTGGGCTGTGGGGGAACGAAGCCACGGCGGAGGCTGGTGGGTGTGGAAGGGAGAAGCCAGAGCTGACCCCGTTCGTGGCCCACGCGGGACTCAGAGATGGCTCCGGGGCAGCGACAGCTCGGGGAGGTCTTCCGGGGTCCCCCGCGAGGCTTCTTGAGGAGCCGGGATAATGTGAGGTGACAGCATGCTTTCATGGATTTCTTCACAATTTTGTTTAACAAGTGAATGAATTAGCACGTAAACAGAGGAAGTGCTAGTTTGCGCATTTAGGTGCAAAAGGTGCCCTGGAGCCCATCTATTCGAAAACCCGCTTTTTAAATGTGAAGGGCTTGGGGGAGGGGGCCCCGGGTGATGACAAGCTGTGAGACTAGAGAGGTGTGGTCGCACAGCATTAGGCACCCACCGAAAGCCGCCGAGGGACACACGGTTCGCTGTTACGTGAATCTCACCTCAATCTGAAAATATAAAAGCGAAGCGCTTGAGGCAGGTGCGCACGGCGCTCCTTCTGACGGACTCGAAGACGATCAGCGAGTGGCGTGGGCACCACAGCCCGAGCCCCTGGACCTCTTCAGGCCATGGGCACCTTCAGGGTCTCTGGGCCTCTACTTGAGGCCCCTTTACCCAAAATGCCTTCAGGTACAGGTCAGAGAGCACCTGACTCAGGCCTCAGGTTAGAGCCTCCGACAGGGGCAGGGCCACCTGGGGCGTTAACCAGTCAAGGTGCCGCCCGGCCCCCCCACCCCCGCAGGGACGACTGTGCCCGCCAGCCCTCGCCCCTGCCCGCCCCCTCAGCTGCAGGACGCGGCCCCTCTGCCCGCGGCCTGGCCCGCAGCTGGCTCGGCAGGGACAGGACCCTGCGACGGGGACTCCTGCGGTCCCGAGTGGTGAGTTTGAAGGGGATGCTTCTGCCCTGTCATGGGGCTGTGGCGGTTGGGACTGGGACCAGGACTCACCCGTTTCGTTCGGTCGGGATTCATATGTGACACGCGCGTCAGCTCCCCCGTGTCGTCTGGGGCCTGAGGAGCCCGGCTCTCTCGTCGGGACTGTGTCCCCGGGGAAGGCTTCCGCTGGTCTCAGACCTCTGCTCCCGCAAGGACTCCGTAGTGTCTCTGCGTTAGCTAGCAGCTCTGTACAGCGGCTGTGAAGGGACAGGCCTGGGGACGGGGACGGGGCCAGCGGCCCCAAACACACGCAGAGTACGAGCCTCCGAGGGCAGTGACCCCGCACCGGCTGGTGAAAGGGCCACGGAAGGGGACTGACTGGCTGGAGCCTGACAGCCGGGCTTCGGAGGACGAGCTCAGAGCCTGGAGACTAATCTTCAATGGGAGGAGTATTTGGAACATTCTGGAAAAGGAAGCTCACGTGATGGCACAGAACCTGAACTGGCTGCACAGTATGACGGCGGGACCGCCAGGGGAAGGGGAGACCAAGCGAGCACATCCCCGCCTTCCTGATCCATCGCCGCCCTCGGACACCGGCCCCGGGCGGTCAGAGACGAGGCTAGGACCCACCCACCCCCGTCAGTCTCGCTCTAGGTCGGGGTGGAGTCAGTGGGACCCTGCAGCCACACGGGCCCTGCGCTCGGAAGGCCCATGCTTGGGGTTTAACACTCTGCAGTCGCGGTGCTGACGGCCTGAATAATGTGATCTCTGTGTTGTGGGTTTAAATTTTTTTTTAGTTTTAATTAATTAATTAATTATTCTTTTGATGTAGTGATCCACGATTCATTGTTTTTGTATAACCCCCAGTGCTCCATGCAGAACGTGCCCTCCTCAATACCCATCACCAGGCCAACCCATCCTCCCACCCCCCTCCCCTCTAGAACCCTCAGTTTGTTTTTCACAGTCCATCGTCTCTCACGGTCCGTCTCCCCCTCCGATGCCTTGCGGTTTCTAACTGAAGTCGGGTGGGACAGCGGCAGGTGCTGGGGGGCTGGAGCTCAGCCGCTCCCCACCCCTCCCCATGATCCCGCCTCCTACTGCCTCCCACCACCTCCGAGAGCAGAAGAAAGGACATTTTCTATTTCAGTACCTTGAACAGCACCTTTTCCTGCGTTTTGAACAAAAGGCCCAGGTTTTCATTCGGCCTTGGGCCCGGGTTGGACAGACCCGCCTGCCGGCTCCGCTGCCCGCAGTCCCCAGCCCGGCAGGCCCAGGGGTGCCCTGGGAGTCGGGCTGCTGCGGCTTCTTGGGGACCCTCTGCGTGACACTCTGTGAGCAATTCACAGCAGCCCTGCGCACTGCGCCCTGCGCCCGCTGGACCCCAGCACCCCGGTCAGCACCCGGCAGGGCACCCTGTTGGCTGGGCTCTCCCTGCTCACGCCCGCCCACCAACCGTGAACGTCCGGTACACGGAGACCCGAGCAAGCATTTACAAGCCCCTACAGCAATTGGCACAATGTCTGGCATTAGGACTTGGGTTTTTCCAGTTCATTTTTTCTAGTGATTTGTTTTTATTGGGTCTCATGGGCAGTTGGAGAGATGGTTCTGATTTCTGACTCGGAGGGTGAGCTTCCAGGTGCGTTACCTCGGAAGGGCTCAGCTCCTGAGCTCCGCCCTTCACTGCCCCTGTCACAAGCTTGTATTTCAGCTGTCCTGGGCATTCTTTTGGTTTTTTTTCGTATTTGAATAGGAAAACTCATGGAGGGCAGAGTCACATTTCCATGAGAATTCAAGCTTGCATGCATCACAACCAGCTATTAGCAGAAGGAGATCATCTCGGCTTATTGCTCAGGGTGAAATGAAGATCAATTCTTCTATTGAAATCAGATAACTTTTCCTTTAAAAGTGATGACGAGATCTTCCATCCATGGATCTGACATGTGTTTCAGCTAAACTGCTTTACACAGTAGCTGCGTGGACTCCTCCATGCATTCAGATGTCGACTCAGCATCTCAACAGGCGTGACTGGGGTTATCCTAGCAGGCTCAGGGGTGCAGAGTGACCTTTCCTCTGTGGGTTGTGGAAGACTGTCTACTACCTCAACCCCCAGAGTCGGGAAGAATAATCACTCCACAGCTTCCTATGGCTGAACCACACCCGATGGTGGGCTGTGCTTTGGGGCAGGGGCAGAAGTGAAGCGGGTCGACTGAAGGCCTTGCCCGGGGAATAGACCGAGTTCAGGCCTCAGGGAGAACCTTCTGGGGGGGCAGGGAGCAGTGGGCTCCAGCATGTCATTAGGAAGGATTCTCTGTGCATCAGAGAACGCACGTTTGTGTTTGCCTCCGCCCTCTCCATGTTGAGTCGATGCTGAAACTGGGTACATGGGGTGAGTGGGAGGCTGCAGGGGGCACAGCGAGCACCTGCCCTGGGGCCAGGTGGGGCCTGGTGCTTAAGCCCGGGACAGGGAGGGAAGACAAAGAGGAGCGGCCAGAGGCCGGTGGGCTCAAAGCGAAGAGCAAATACAAGATGGAAGGAACCAGAGGGAAAGAGACCCCTGTGAGCAGAGGGAACCTCGTGTAAGGAACGGTACAATCTACTCAGTGCTGCCAGGAATTTTATTCCAGTTACTACTGGGAACTTTTAAATGTCTAAGAGACTTTTTTTGTTACACAAAGCAAGCCTATCTGGTGAGGATGATGGTCACCAGAAGAGCCCTCATCTCTGGCCCTTCTCTGGAGAGCCCAGAGCAGGAGCCTCCGTGGGCACGACAGGGAACCGGGCTGGATTCCCGGCCGTGGCCCAGGCACACAGACGGAGAAGGAACCCACTACCTGTGTCTGGGGAGAAGCTCTGAGAGCCTGCCCCACTCCGTGCAACTTCAGGTGCAGCCCTGCTCCTCTCGTGCGTCGAGGACAAATCTCAGGATGTCCCTTAAATCGCATGATTTACAAAATACCCTGACTCTGTTTGCCGGGGCCTGGGCTCAAACTGCCCCTGAGCAGGATGACCCCTGCTTTGCTGAAAACGGCCTCAGCTTCCAGCAGCAGAACTACAGGCTGTGTCCGACCCCGGAAAACCAAGAACATGTAGTGTTCGAAGTTCTCTTTCGTTAACATAATGGAAATGCAAGGAGACGTAATCAACATTCTGCTTGAGCGTTGTTTTAAAAAACCACTTTATTTCAAAGAACAGATGAGTATTTTGCTGGCGACAGGTGGGAAAACAAATGGCCAGAGAACAGTTTGTCTTAATAAATAACAAAATGCCATTTATGTTTCTGAAACGTCTAGAACACATACCACATCTTCAATAAATAAACCCACGCTGGTGCTACCTCGCTAGAGACAGTTCCGGGTGTCTGGCGTGTGGAGGGGTGAAGCACATCAGGGCACCGGGCCCGCCCGCCCCCGTCACGTCCTCCCCGAGACCCGCAGGACGGCAGCGGCGGCCACCTTGGAGCTCGGACCCCAGATGTGTCCAGGGGCTCCCAGGGCCTCTGCCAGGCAGGCCTGGACGGCTTCTCGGCGGCTCACTTCCCGCCGGCTGGTGCTCAGGCCCGTGCAGAGCAGGACGAGGTGCCGGGAAAGTCTTCTGGGTGATGGGACGGCTCTGAGTTCCGTCTTGGTTCTGATCCAGGCGTCAGTTTCCTCCCAGAGGCTGGGCCCTGCGCCGGCTGCATTCTGGCGCCCACCGTGGCATCGGCGCTCACCTGCTCTCCCATTCTAGACTGAGACACCTGAGAGACCCCGGCTCCCCTGAGTGCCACCCGCCTGGCCCCGAGCAGCTGCCAGGGCGCCTGCCTGTCCCGCCGTGTGTCCCAGGCTCCGTCGTGGAGACTTCTGGCACCTCCTTGCTGCTGTTGTGAGCGTCACGGCTCGCCTAAAGTAGGACCCGGACTTCTCAGGGTGGCTTTTGTGTCTTTTCCGGGTGTGTGTGCAAAAGGCAAGGGTACATCATTCTTTCCAACACAGGATCCTTTATTTGAACGTTGCCTTGACAGTTTGTGAGGGACGGGCCCAGCCTCCCTCCAGGGGACTCGAGGGGTCAGTGTTCCTTGAACCTGGAAGAGGATAAAAGAGCCGCTGGCAACATGGCCGGCAATGGTCACAGGCCAGACGCTGCGTGCGGGCGAACGTGCAAACCCTGCCCAGCCAGCTTCTCACCCTTCTGCGGAGGGTCTCCGGAGCCACGTGGAGGGGGCAGCCCCCCACCCACCCCGCAGGCCTGGGGGAGAGAGGATGGAAGGCAGGACGCCAGGCTGGCTCTGGGGCTATTTGTCACAAAGCTGCCGCTCAAAGACAACAAAGAAGGCAATTTCCCTGACATTTTTCTCGGATTTTGAGGAGAGATTATGGCCATCGCAGCCCCACTGAGGCATTTATCAGGAAAAGTGAGCGTGAACGAGCCATGCAATGGCAGGGACAGTGGGTGGGTTCATTAGACCTGCCCTCTGACCCGGGGGGCGGGGGGCACTTACAGAACTTGGTCCGTGGTCGCAGACCCCGGGCAGCTCAGCTCCTTGTGAATGAGGCGGATCAGGAACTGTACCCAGGGCGAAGAGGAGAGGCGGTTACTGACGGCGGCGAGCCTGTCAGGAGAGGCGGCCCCCACGCCGCCCGCTGGGCTGCCCTGGGGGAGCTCCGAGGCTCCTTCAGGACATGAAGGACTCAGAGGCCCACAGGGGAGCGGGAGCCTGAGGCCCGGGCCCCATGGCGGGGCTGTGGGCCTCTGAGTCCCACTGAGGCCACGCTCCTGCAGGTAAGGCTGTTGGGACAAATTTCAGCCTACAATTTCCGGGTCAAGTAACGTTTAAAATGAAATGAGTCCAGTCATAAAATATCCAGATCAGAAAGAGAGAATAAGGACAAGGTGACCCACGACCAGGGAGACACTGGCTGGGGGGCACTGGAGAGCTGCCAGGCGCTGTGAAGGCCAGATGCGCATCTCCTGGGCCCCGGCACCGGGAGGCTGACCAGGCCATCTTTAGAGCAGCTGCACTTTACCGGGAAGCTTCTGGGAGAGAAGCTGGCTCCGCCGGGACCCTCGCCCGCAGCCTCTGCAGAGGCTGTGGGACTAAACCCGGGACAGCTCTGCCTCACCTACCACCGTTCCCTCGAGCTCCTTTACCTGCTCACAGGGCCGAGTCGGTTTACAGAGCCAGACTAATGGTGGAACACCGCACCAGTGAGCTGGTTTTGCTCGTCTGTGGCTGTGGACCTGGTCTGCCCGCATGCTGACATCAGCCCCACAGGAGGGCCCCGTGCGCAGGGCAACAGGCTCTGGTTCTGGCGGCCCCCTTACAAGGGCAGCAGGTGTCCCTGGGCTCAGGACGGACCAGTGGGCTGAGAGAGGCCCAGCACGGGTTAAAAACCCACACAGCTCCACAGGACCCAGCTCAGGTCAGAGCTCTAGGAGGCAGGGACACTTATTGTCTTCGACGCTCGAGTTTCAAGCAGGAGCTTGAAGTCCCTCATACGACATGAGTTCAGGCTGAAGCGAACAGGTGTGTCTCCCACAGAGAAAGCGGAGCTGCTTTGCTTGACCCTCAAGCAGCGCGCATGCGGTTAGAGTGGGAAAGCAGGGGGCACGTCAGGTGCTCAGTCCGGGGCTGGCAGCGACGGCAGCGACAGTGACATTTCTGTTGCGCAAGCTGACCCTGGGAATCTGAGCCTCCAGCCCACTAGCATCCGTCTGCTCAGCTGGAGCTGGTACCGATCCATACACATCCCCCCGCCATGTGCAACGTGTGAATGCAAGCAGGAGGAGCCTCTGGTTCCACGGGGCAGATCACGGGAGCGGAAGAGGGAGGAAAATGACAAGAGATTCATGTGGCCTGAAATACAGCGCAGACGGTAGCAATGAATCTGAAGGTCAAAGGTGACTCAGTGCGGTCTGCAGGCAAGACCAGCCGCCTGGAGCCCCCGTGACGCGTGTCTGCAGGGGTAAGCCTATGCATTTGACAGCATGGCCACCAGGCTTTGGTCACACTCCACAGACAGTCCTGCAGGGCGCCCGGATCTGACCCCTCTGGGTGACCTGCCCGGGGACGCCGAGGTCCCCAGCATCAGACTGGGGAGGTCCCAGAAGAGGTATGGCAGGTGTTTACACCGCCCACTGCGGGGCGGCTCCTCTCCCGACCTCGCATCTCACCCGGCCAGTCCAGCTTCCTTTCGGTTATTATCTGCCTGCGGGTATGTTCACGTTCTCATCTCTGTCCTTCCTGAACCGTGACACGTCAGTCTGCAAACTCTGTGGCTGACCGGCCGGCGCAGGCCGTTCCCAGTCCCGTTCGGACGCGTGTGCTCACCCCGGCTTCTCCGTCAGCTGTTTTGTCTTCCCCTGTGCTCCATCTGGGTCTGAGATCCCTCCCCGGGGCTCGGAGCAGACCACCCGTGTGCGCTCCGTCCTGTACTTGGTCTGCCTCTAGCGCTGGCCCCCGCCTCCCTGTCCGAGCTGCCCCTGGGCTTCCTCTGTCTGCTCCACAAACTCGCGTTCGGTGCTCATGGACGCCGTTCCTTCCCAGACATCTCCCGTAGTGTCTCGTGGGCTTATTGTACGTCCATCTGGTCCTCGTCTTCTTGGACCCACCTGCCAGTGTTGCCGGTAAGCCCCCCACTGGAGCCCAGCCCAACCCCTCATCTCCTCTCCCCGGGGGCAGAACCACCGGCGCCCCCATTCCCGAGTGGACGACTCGCCCTGAGGCTCCAGCCGGGGCCTCAGTACTTGTTTATGCTGCCTTGACGCCGTGGGTCCTGTGGATACCCTGCCTCTCCTCGGGGTTGCTGTGCATCTAGAAGGAAGCGTAAGGTGCATCCCCGACATTGGCGAAGGAGAGCGTTCAGTCTTCAAACAGCCCTCCTGGTGGGAGTCTCACTGCCACTTAGCTGAAATGAGCTGGGGACTTAACCAAAACCCTCAGGCATTGACAAAAACAAATATTCTTAGGAACAGCCTCTTCAAACCTAACATGTGCTTATTTCTACACATTTATTAAAGAAATCTGAATTCAGCTCCTGAGCTGAAAGCTGACGTTGAATTCTATCTGAAACAGCCCTGGAGTGAAAATACAGAACTTTCATGTGATTGACAGAGCTGAGATTTCCAAATCCTCAGCTCGCTCTTACTGGGATCAACGTCAGGCGTCTTCTGGGGAAGCGAGGGGAGGCACGTGGCTTCAGGTCAGGGACTCCGTGCCCACTAGCCACTCCCAGGGCCGCGCTGCACGCCTCTGACTTGTGCCGGGTCCCGTCTGCCCTGCAGCACACCCAAATCTCAGGGCAGCCACCAGAGAGCAGGGTCGCCAACAGAAGCGCCGGGCGCCTGTCCCCATAGCCTCTGCTCCTTCTTTCCCATCCCTTTGGGTGCTGGGAGTCGGGCTGCTTCCCCAGGGCGCTGCCGGATGCAGGAGGAGCAGGGGGGCAACGGGGATCGCCGTGTAGGAGTGGGTTTCGGCTTGCCATCTCCTCCAGTCCCCTCGATAGTCCTGTCTTGGGGTGCTATTATTATGCCCATTTAACCACCGTGGAAGCTGCAGGACAGAGGCTGAGTCATCTGCTCCAGGCGCACACCCGCCGACGGATGACAGGGCTGGGGTCCCACGCCAGGGTACCCCTGCTCTCTGCCTCCCTACCATCCTGCCCAAAGCTGCAGAGCAGGATGGGTTTGCTTCTGCTCTGACGTTTGCTCAGACCAGAAAGAGGAAGGCCTCGGATCATGAGCACTCAGGGAAGTCAGGCTCTGTCACAGGCCAAGCCTCCCTGAGACCCACAGTTCCCCTGGAAGAAGTGTCCCCAGCGTTCGGTCAACAATCAGAGAGACTTACCAGTAAGGCACAGGCGTCTGCGAACATCAGCATGTAGAACACATTGTTCCATCCAGATGGGGACAGGAGCCCAGCCAGCAAAGGGCCCAGGGCTGCTCCTGGGAGGGGGCAAAGGGACACATGTGAGCCGTGTGAGGAAGACTCCGGAAGGTGGCTCCGGAATACCCAGGCCCCAGGAGTACACAGCACGGTGCCCAACACCACCTTCATGGTTAACAAAAAACATGTTAAAACAACAAAAACTCATTCTCGCCACTCAGGCTGGTGGGGATGGAAAGCTCACGAGTACCCAGCACCGTGAGGGTGCGGCCAGCACAACCTCTCTCTGGAAGCAAATCTAAAAACACATATTGACCTTAAAACGTTCATTCTTCGGACCCAACAATCCCAGTGAAAAACTTTATTAAAGAAATCTGAATCTAAAGCACAATCTTAGATTCGTTTATGTTATGAGACGTATAATTGGTAAAATACGAGTAAGGTTTGTAGGCACTAAATACTGTATCAGTGCTAACGTCCTCATTCTGATAATTAGGTGCTGTGGTTACATCCTGGGCTTCTCTGTCTTTAGGGAATACCCACGGAATACATAGCTCCTGGTAAAGGAGCAGCGTGTCTGTAATTTGCCCCTAAGCAGTTCGGGAAAAAATACACATGTGTATATTCTTACGTGTGCGTGTGCATACATGTGTGGGTACAAATGTGTGTGTGCACACGGAGCAGATGAAGCAGATGTAGGATATGTGAATTCTCTGTACTATTTCTGCAACTTTTCTGTAAGTCTAAAATTATGTCAAAACGATTTTTGAGAGACTATGAAAATGAAAGAAAGCAAACATTCCTCAAAATGCCCAAAGATATCCAAGAATGTTGCAGCAGTTTGGGCATTTATTGTCCTAAAAGAGACAGGAATAGATTATGATCTGTGATAGGGTGGGTCATCGTTTCAACACAGTCAAAAGTACGAAGAATCTACATCGAGTTTTCCTGACACTTCGCCCCGAGAGGTAGAGTATGGGGGTCTTTCGCACTTCGTACGTACTAATGTTGTTCCAAGTGTTTACAGGTAGCCTTTACTACCTGTATACCTGAGAAGTGATTACATGTGTGTTAAGTCTCAGGGGAGCTTCCAGGTAAACACGGTAGATTGCTCACGTGTGCTTATTTCTACACCTCCCAACACCACAAAATGCGCCACACGTGAATTTAACAAATTGTAAGCCCACAAAGAGAAGGGCAGATGAGAGAAGGTACCATTCTTAGAGGATGGACTTTCAAGGGCACGACAAGGACATGGGCTCCAGTCTCCTTGCTCGGAGAGTGACGGGTGACGGCCTGAGGACTCCTTGTTCAGAGCCAGGCCCGTCCACGCACACGAGGCAGGGGAGGGTGGAAAGTGAGGGAAGGTAGGCCGTGGGTGAGAATCTTTTATGAAGAATTATTGGATACGTCCCTTCACACTCCTGATGCTCCTTCAGCATCACTCCAGGGATCACCCCCCACCCTCACAAGAGAGCAGCCCCTCAGCCTTTGGAGACTGTGAACCAGAGGTGCTGGGCTTGGGGATTCGCGTGGGGATGGGGTAGCGACTGAGTCAGGGAATGCAGGTAAATCCACCACTTCCACCAAGGAGGCGCCTCCCCACCCCCACGACAGAATGCTGTCTCAAGGCCCACACCCCAGCGGGCACTGGCGGTCTCCTTCTCCAGATTCCAGTCTGATCCCATGACTGTGAAGATCAGCGGTTGATATGCCATCTCATGCAGAAAGGGCTTCCAGTAAGTGCTCAGTGGCTCATTCTTAAATACGAATATATGAAGGGCCGGCCAGATTCATCAGTCTGAGGAAAGTCCCAAACAAGCAGGGAGGAGGGGAACTCGGAGGAAATCAACAAACTGGGGAGGATAAAATGCCCAGAAAGCTGTAATACCCTCAAAGAACTGATAGAAACTTAAGGTGAACCAGACGATATTCTCACATTGATACCTGAAAACCAGGATCAGCAATTTCACGAATCAATCTAACACATGCTGCACCCAAGAAATAAGAACAGGATGCACTAGGCTTCCCCTCCCCCACAGCAGCTCACGCCCTTCCTTTCCAACACGGCGCCGCACGAGGCTCCCGCAGAGGAGGGTGGTGGGAAGGGCCGTCTGCCATCAACAGCGTAGCGGTCAGAGAACACACCATCAACGTTCACAAGCACGTCCACGGAGTGGGTTGCAAGAGGCATGCCCCTCGGGCACGCAAAAAGATCTGGAAATTCGCGTGAAGGAGCTGGAACTCGGCATGTGCGCATTGACACCTGGCTCAACAATGCCGTCTGGGCCAAAGGAAGAAGGGAATGTTCCATACGGTATCTGTGTGCGGTTGTCCAGAAAATGTAACGAGGATGAAGATTCTCAAGCAAGCTCTCTGTGTCGTTTACCTATGTACCCGTCACCACTTCCAAAAATCTACAGTCAATGCGGATGAGAACGAACTACTGATTGTCAAATAAAGGTATAGAACTGCAAAAAAACAAAACAAAACAAAAAAAAAAACCACAAAAAATGAGATGCACTCAAGGGGCAGAAAAATGTTAATGAATTAGACAACCAAAGTGAAGGTCGGAAAGTAAAGTCAAGAACATCTCTGAGAAAGCAGAGAAAAAAGAAAAAGGAAAGAAGGAAAAAAGAAAGAAGAAAATTGAAGGATTAACCCAGAAAGGTTAACCTCTGACTAATCAGTTTTCCAGGAATTAAAAACAGACAGCAGTAGGGGAAACATGTCAAAGAAAACACAGAGCAGGATTTCGCGGAGAGGAAGGGCATGTGTCTCCAGGCGAGGTGGGCCCCTGGGTGGGGGCCCCGGGCACGGGGGATGAAGAAAGGTGCCCAGAAGTCTTTGGGGGAAGCAGGCAGAGGCAGAAATGAGGGCTGGGACGAAGATAACAATGGACTTCACAACGGAGACCAGGGAAGCTATAAGACGCTGGAATCCTGAAGAAAACGACTTTTAGCCCGGGATTGGGATTCATACCTACAAGCTAGAGCAGAATCCAGACCGTGCAGACTCCCAACCCTCACACTACTACTCAGGAAGCCACTGGAAGTCTCCTCCATCAAAGAGGAGCGGAATTGGCGGCTAGAAGATGGGTGGGCACGTGATGGAAGGGGTCGCAGGAGGCGGGGGAAGAGGCTCTGGGGCGAGGCACGGGAGCAGCAGGGCCAGGCGGCCCCTCACTGCTGATGGTCAGAAGCAAGGGAGCGAGCATGAGCGATGCTAACATGATGAGGGGTGCTGAGGAGGATGGGGAAGGGGGCTCGGGGGCACAAGAGCCGAGCCCCAGCCTCCTTCCTAGGAGGACAGCAGACAGTGTCAGCCTGAGGAATGGAGGAGCATGTAGACTCGTATGCAAGTCAGGCCAGGGGGACCAGCTGAAATGGCTGCTTCTAGGAGGAGGGAGCTGGGGGCGGGGGGCGCACAAGGACCAACATTTTCCATCGTAATTAGCTTGTAAGGCTATCTGGCCTCGAAAGTGACATCATGTTTTACTTTGACAAGATAAAAATTAGCTGGAAAAAACTCAGGGCTCTACGTAGTTGCTCTGTGTACGACACACAGACACAATGAGCCTCGTGTCCCACGGGAAGGCCACCCCAAGAGCGCTGGGAACACACCAAACGGGTAAACTGCATCACTGGACCCACATGGCCCCAGTGAGCTGCAAGAAGACACGGGCTTATTTACCATGAGCTGAGCTCAGCCTCCGTCGAAACCAGGACTGGCAATATCGAACAAAGGCGTCAAGGTGAACGCTCTGAATGGCGTGCATTTCCACTCGAGCTGTTCTTTCTCCTGTGCGGAGGGGGCAGCACTTACGGCGAGAAACGACAGGCGCCGCTTGCTGCATGGTGGCTGTGGCCCGGCCTGCGGGCTGGGGGCTGGCAGGGCTGCAGGTCAGGGGCCAGGTGGGAGACGGTTACCCTCTGCTGTCCTTCGTGGGGGGGAGGCGCTCCGAGCTGAGCCTTGGTTTCTACTGGCGGCTCACAGACGCGCTCTCCATCCTCAGCCAGGCCCTTCTGCTCCCTCTTGAGAAGACTATCAGGAAAGACATGTTTTTCCACCTGATTCACAATTTCCCTCCTTGTAAACTGCCATCCTCTGCTCGAAAACAGCTATGGGGGCCGCCGGCAGGGTGCAAGTCTGCTTGAAGAAACGGCTTCACGGTGGCAGCTGGGCTGACTCGCCATCTGTCCTCTGGGGACAGAAGGTGGTTCAAAGTCACGAGGCTCATTAGAACCGAGCTCAGCCCAGAAGCGTCCCGACTTCTGACCGATGTGTCTCCCCGGCAGAGCTACGTGACTGAGCAGAGCCGTGGACCCTGCACGCAGACAGAGCCGTGCTGCCCCCCACACGCCCGCCGCTACCCTCTCTCTGGACGCATCCCCAGGCCCCGAGGGGTGCCTCGAAACGTCAGAGGGTGGCTGCTAACACTGCCCAGCAAATTCAGTCACCTCCCCCCCCGGATCCAAAAATGGGGCAGGTATGACTTTGGAGGAAAATAGGCGCTCAAGCCTGGCCCCCTCGCAACGGCGACTTTACTTAGTGCATCTTGGAACACGCGGGACCTGCCACATGAAGCCAGCTGCCGGAGCCCCCGGGAATGGCAGTCGGAGCACGGACAGGGCTCCTGTGACCCAGAGGTGGGCGGCCCTGTCCCGATGAGTCGTGCGGGCTGCGGCGAGCCCAGGGCCTCGCTGGCCCGGCCCCTCCCCTGTGAACTCAGCGGCCTGGACAGAAGTGGCCTGGGTGTCTCAGAGCACCCAGGCCATTCATTTCACCCTCGTTTACTCAGTGACTACTATGTCCAGGTGCTGTCTCTGTGCTGAGAATTCAGCAGAGATCGGAGCACATAGACTCCACCCAGGTCCACAGAGCTGACAGGCAGAATGTGCTGCGGACAAGAGACTCCAGGGAAGAGGCCCCCTGAGTGCGGGTGACGGGGGTCCGCCTTCCAGACAGGCCGAGAGGTCCCACAGAGGACCTGTGTGCTCTGTGCCGTACCCAGAGCAACTGCGGAGAGGCTCATTGTGTCTGTATGTCATACACAGAGCAAGTACGTAGAGCCTTGAGTTTTTTCCAGCTGTGATAGCTGAGCCAAGACTCCAAGGGCCCGAGGGCACAGGCATGAGGTCCCTGAAGGGAGCTCCTCGGGCGCAGCACACAGTCCGTGCAAAGGCCCTGCACGGGGACACACTGGTGTTTGCGAGCATCAACAGGGAGGCCACGTGGCTTGGGAGAGCGGCGGGAAGGACTTCAGATTCTCCATTAGTAAGACAGCAGTGGGTGTCCAGGAGTGGACGGTGGCTGTCTCTATCCAGCTAGCACAAAGGGCCTTGGGGACCGCCAAGAGAAAATCTCAGCTTCCCACAGTGGTGCGGAAGGACAGCCCTAGGAGCAAGGCTAAGGTGGAACTGTGCTCTTCCTGAGCCGCCTTTGTCTGGAAAGAGCTTGGTTTTACCGCTGTGAGATCGTCCTAGATGCCCAGGTGTCCCTCCCCATCTAGCTTGCCCTCTCTCTCACGGTCCCCTTCCTGTGGGAGCCTGGGGCAGCAGGTGACACCGGGATGCCACCCAAGGTCCTCCTGGGTAGCCGTGGGCACCACACCAGCCAACCTCCCGAGCTTCAGCTTCCCACGTCTGGAGAGGGGCAGGTGTAGGACAGCAGGTACCCTGTGCAGGGCAGGGCCCCTGGTAGGGGGTGGTCACAGCACATGTGCTCCTGGCAGGAAGGCTTGAGAAAGGTCAAGAACGTTGCCGTCAGCCTGCTGACTTGTCGGTAAGAACACGCTTGTCACTATATTGGTTCCCACCTGACCATCTCTGAGTGAAGGACTTGCTTATTTTGCCACCTTTCTTTCCTCCAGAATATGCTACTGAATGCTCTTCAAGAACCGTAATGAGGGGCGCCTGGGGGGCTCAGTTGGTTAAGTGTCTGACTCTTGGTTTCGTCTCAGGTCGTGATCTCATGGGTCGTGGGATCAAGCCCCGTGTTGGGCTCTGGGCTCAGTGGTGAGTCTGCTTCGCCCTCCGCCCACCCCCGCCACTCATGCTCTCTCGCTCTCAAATAAATAAATAAATCTTTAGAAAAATAAAATGAGCCTCTTTAAAAATAAAAAAGAACCATAATGAGGCTGGTAACACCTGCATCTTGTATGCCTGGGGACCTATTAGTGTTCCTGTCGTTTGTATTGGGTTAAGGGAATGGTTAATTCCCGTCTTGAGTGGGAGTGATAAACAGGGGACCAGTGACCGCAGTCGCAGTTTGCCAACAGCTGGCTTCGGTGAAAACCTGAGTGTGCGTTTTTTCCCACGGAGGGAAAGTACTTGCAACCAGTCCCGTGCCCGTCCTTCCTGTGGAGCCACCCGACCAGGGAACAGACGCCTGCACGCCCATGTACCCCAGATCAGCACATGCTTTTGATCTGATCAATTCTGTAAAAGGCCAAGCTGTCCATTATTTGTCTGTTTGTAAAGTTTATGTGTCTTTTTTTTTTTTTTAAGATTTTATTGATTTATTTGACAGAGAGAGAGAGAGAACACAAGTAGGCAGAGCGGCAGGCAGAGGGAGAGGGAGAAGCACGCTCCCCGCTGAGCAGGGAGCCCGATGCAAGAGTTGATCCCAAGACCCTGGGATCTTGACCTGAGCCAAAGGCAGATGCTTAACCGACTGAGCCACCCAGGCGCCCAGGTTTATGTGTCTTAACTCATTTAATAAGTACACTGTTTATCTGTTTCTGAATGGGGACTGAGCTTTTTGAATACTGAAATTGATCTGAACATCCTAACTTGGAATTACGTTTTCTACTTGAAATTCTAAAAATCTGATTGATGAAAATTCTGTAACATACTGGAAACGCTATGGATGTGTTTGGGTGAGCTGGTGTTCTGCTACACAGGGTCTTGCCCCTAGACTTAACGTGGGGACCCAGTCCTCACCCTTTGCTGCACGCTCCTTGAGTCTGCGTGCGTGCCATGGTTTGGTCTTAGAAAACATCAGTTTTTCACAGTAACAACTGTTAGAGCTTTTTTTTTCATTAAATGATCTAAACTTGTCAATAACAATTATCTGAACTCTGTGGCAACTACACTAATCAAATTGCCCTTAGCTGGTTTTTGTAATAGATGATTAACATACATTAGCAACTCCGCCGAAATACGAATTGAACTTTAAGTGATTATGAATACCATACTTTTTCATCAGTAAAAATTATAATTAAATTATTGAGTGCATGTAAGTACCATATTTATAACATGAGAGATGTTTTCCATTTTGTCAAGTTAGATTTTATATGTGATTATGTATTAAGATTAAATTTTTAATTAAGTTCCTTTTGTAAAATTACTAAGAAAGGGGAGTTTCTGTCTTTGCTTGTTGACATTTTCCTTCCCTGTGTCTGTAAAGAACTGTCGTGTTGCAGGGACTCTTTCTTCTGAACTCTGCCATTTTTAAGGCTCTGGTGCCCAAATCCCATATCAACCTTTATATTTAAATTACAGTGTTGCACTCATTTGTAGACAAAAAAGATACTTTTACTAGCATGATGATACCATCTAACTAAAAAGAATCTTTGATTCTTGAAAAATAATCTTTTTTTTTGGATTTTATTTATATTTATTTATTTATTTTTAAAGCTTTACGCCCAACGTGGGGCTTGAACTCACAACCCTTGAGATCAAGAGTGGCATGCTCTACTGATGGAGCCAGCCAGGTACCCCAATAATAAGCATTGCAATAATAGTGTAAAGAGTGTTTCATGCAGTTAAAAAAAAAAAAAGTAAAAAAAAAAAAAAGGCCAGCCAATCCTAATATTACCAAAGCACCTGGAATCCTTGGCAATTGTTAATTAGGATGTGACAATCCGGTTTCCCCTATGACCACAATTAACCTCTTAGAGTTAAAAATATCCACGCACCTACAGACCCAGTCCCGTCGATGATGGCGGTCACAGTGGCGAGGGCATGGGAGTTTCCCTTGAGACTTTTGTGCGTGCCCTAGAAGAGAGGGGACAGCAAACGTGATGCACATCTGGGCAGCCTCAGTGAGAAACAAGCCTGCCCCTCCTTCAGCAATTTGCCCAAACAACTTTGCAAAGCAATTCAAAACATGGGGTGTTTTCCATCAGAAAATTTAAACTCTACTCCAATCCAAACTCACTTTGGAAAGACATACAAAGTTTAAGGGTTTTCAACAGTAAGAAATCATCAGAAATAACTGTCCAAACATATTCTGGTTTAAAGAACTCTCAGAATTTTTCCTTAAGCAAATATTTACTCAGCACACCCCACCAGCCCATGTGGAAGATAAAGACACGGATGACACTCGTCCCTGTCCCTGAGCTGTGCCAGGATTGATGCCCACTTCCGTGACCCGCGAGGGCCTTTCTGTGACACGTGCCAGATGGCTCTGTAGTACCTAAAAACCCACCCAGTTCTCAGCAAATGCCACGGAGGATGGGGAATGGGGCAGGACCCAAGAAGCCAATGTGGGGGTCACCAAGTCCTAAATGACAAACCCACAGGAGCTCTGGTTTTCAGAAAGCACGACATAGAAGGTTGGGAGAAAGAAACAAACGGAGGACAATAAAAGAAAAAAAAACATTAGGAGAACAGTGCCTGGAAGCCTAAAGCTACACAAATAAACCCAAGATGGCAACAACAGATGCTTGTGTGTGGGTCCACATAAGTATACAAAATAAAGCACACACACGAAGTGATATCCACGTTTTCTGGAGTCTGGAGTCCCTCTTCTGTCCTCTGATCCCATGGGGCAGACGACTGTTAGTGGTCCAGTGTGGACCCTTCCAGAATTTTCTGTGCCCCGTGCAGACAGGAGCACAAAGGTGGGCCTGTTACCGGACTCCCCAGTGCCCCTCCGTCTGCTTCTCTTTGCTGACCTGGCAGGGCAGGGCCTCTGGTTGTCTCGGATGTGGAAGGGCCTGAGGTGCTGAGGACAGCACAGATGTCGCTGGGCAAGGCGCAGTGTCAGGGAGATGCCCGGCCCGGAGAGGAGGATAGGGGGCAGGCGCGGGGTCCGCAGTCGCCCGGGCTTGCCACGGTTTCCAAGCAGGAGAATGAGCGAGGGGCTGGTGAGTTCGGGGTCTGATTCTGGGAGGACTTGAGGGAGGTGCAGAAGAGAAGCAGGGTCCCTGGAGGGGCCGCAAAGTTCCGGGGGCCTCGGGGGGCCGTCGGGGAGGGGAGCCCAGCCATCCGGCCCACAAGACAACGAACCAGCTCTGGGCGACTGCTTAGGAATTTGAATGAGCTTCTAATTTTCGAACAGTCTTAGGTGCCCGGAAATTCTGCACGATCGTACACAGGGCTGTGTGCCCTGCACCCACTTTGTGTCACAGCTGTCACTGTGAGGGGCCCAGCACTGATGGTCAGCATCGCCTAACACGCTGGGTGCTAGCTTCTGTCTACTCTGATCTCCTCTGTCCAGGGCCCCACGTGACGGTCAGCCCGCACGCCTCCTGACGGTTCCTCACGCTTGCTCTCTGTCCGCCGCCGCCGACAGCCTCGAGTGGATCCCCCCCCCCCGCTGGGCCGTGTGCGGGGCCTTCCTCGTGAGGAGCCCGGGTGGTGGGTCTGGGGAGGGAGGCCACAGAGGTGCAGTGCCATCCTCGGGTACGTGCCCAGGGTGCAGGCTGTCACACGCCCTGTCGCTGTCGGCGCTGGCCGCGGCCCCCTGGTGGGCGTGTCTGACCGGTCCCCCCGTAGCCACCCCGTTCCCCCCCTTGGGAGGAATTCGCTGTGTGCAGCCCACACCTAAGAGAGTGAGGCTCCCTGAGGACAGAGCATCCACGGAAAGTCTGTACGGGGCATCTGTCTCCTTTCTCCCCTTTGTGTAGGGCAACGACTTTTTGAAGAGGACTTTGTATCTTGGTGCACCGTTCCCTACAGGTGGGGGCATCTGACGACCGTGTGAAATGTCTCTCATGTCAGGTGGATGAGGGTGGCCCTGCCTCCACGGGGTCCTAGGAGCATGGAGCTCGGGCTCTCCTGATCAGGAGTCCAAGGTCACCTTGTCAGCACCCTCTTCCTGTGGGAAGCGTGGGGCAGCTATTCCTGCGGATCCCAAGGCAGACCCGCAGAGGGCCAGGCACAGAGGGGGCTGGATGAAGGGAGGAGCCGACCCCACTGGGTCTCCGATCTGGGCCCCGAGGCCGGGCTCCGGGGTGCACGGCCACCAGCCCCCGGGGTTAAGCAAGGGCAGCACGGAGGAGTGAGCCAGTGAGCTGGATTCTGACCCAGGGTCTCACACGAGCCCCTTCACCTCGACTCGGCGCCCTTGTGTATGGAACAGGGACAGTATCTCCCCGCATTTGCTTCAGAAGACCCTTAAAAGCATAGGTATCATTCATAGGGAAAAAGCTGCTTCCACAAAGACACGGTTTTACTAAAAGCGACCGTCTCTGTCAAGAACGGCCGAGAGGACCGTCCCCTGCCTCTGCTCCGAGCTCAGACGCGTGGCCACTCACCAGGTCGGCGGAGACGGCGGTCGTGATCAGGGCGTACGGCCCGCTGACCAGGGCCCCGCTGAGGAGCAGCATGGCTGTGGGAACCAGAAGCGAGAAGGAGGGATTTAGTGGCAAAACAGTGCCCTCTGGGAGAGCCTCCAGGCCTCAGCCGCCCCGGGGTGAGCAGCCTGGTGTCAGGCACGGGCCTGGCCTGAGCGGAACGCACGCAGGCGGGTGCTGGGAAGGCGGCCCGCACGTCTGGGGCGCGGTGACTGCCGGGCCCAGTGTGGGGAGCATCTTCCTTTAAACCTGCCCGGATGTGTTTGTAAGTCCTCTCACACTCCCCCGAAGGCTCCGGCTGTGTCCAGAGGGCCCGGCACTCCCGTTTCCTCGACCCTCAATGGGGGCAGCTGGGGACACCCCAGGAGCGAGCAGAACCCTGGTGCTCCAAGTGTGACCGTGCCCTGGGCGTGCCAGTGTCCCTGTCATCGGTGCTGGCCGGGTGCTAACACCTGCCACGGACTTCTCTGCAGCGGAAAGGGCTCTCTCTCTCTCAGCGCCCACGGCTGCTGCTTCCCTGAGGGGAACCCGGAGACCCAGCGTAGCCGAGCACCCGAGGGCAGCATAACACGCTTATTGCTGAACACACGCTTTCCACACGGTCCTCCAGGCTCACTTTCTCAAGCTAGCCTCTGGTTCACACTCTGTGCAGAAGCTTCTGGACCACCAGGTCACGGGAAACCCCACGGTCCCTCACATCAGCAACCTGCCTTCTGGATAACTTCTGATGGGATCACACACAGCCTGCTTCCTTCCCGATCCCCACGGCCAGCTTGTTACGACAGAAAGAGTATTTACCAACTGTTAGAGCCATCATCAGATAGCGCTGCCTGCAGGAAGTTAAAAATAGCCCCCAGTGTCATGCAACTGCTCTCAGGATGGCAGGTGATGGAAGCCAGCTGGAAGCCTGTCCCCTGCCCCGCTCCGGCCCACTCCCGCCCGCCAGGGCTGCAGGCCTCGGGCTTCTCTGGGGACCTCCTCGCGGCCCCGGAGCCGGCGGCCTGCGCTCTCCCACGCCTGCGCTCAGAGCTGCGGACGGGCAGGCCTCCCTCGGGGAGCAGGCGTCCCGCCCAGAGAGGGACACGGGCCTACTGTAGCCACACCAATGCTCCAGCCGTACCAGCCAAATCTGTGCCGATTTTCTACTTTGTCTCAGCAAGCTGTGTGGACAAAACCCGTGCGTGCAAGAAGAAAAGCCTCACGGACTCACCGATCGTGGCTTCGAGGCCCATTTTGCTGATGGTGGAGAATATGTAGAGCTGCCGAGGGTGTAAACACAGGGGAACCGTGGGTTAGCACAGGCAGCCGAACACCGCCCAGGAGCCTGTCTTTCTGAAACGCCAGGCAGGGGCTTCTCAGGCAGCCAGCGGGAGAGGAAGACAGGCGCTCGGGAGTCCCCAGCCTCGGCCCCCGCATGTGGGGCCTCATGGTGCCCCCCACTCTGAGCTCCCAGGGCTGCCGGACGCGGCTTGGGGCAGCTCTCCCTGGGCTCCGTGTGACCGTCTCCTCCTCAGCCTGTCCCCCCGAACAGCTGCAGCGGCTGAAGGGGGTCCTGCGGCAGGGGCCACACTGACACTTGCTCAGTAAAGGTTTTTGGAGGGTCTGTGTTGGCCAGTGTCCCAGGCCCCCAGGTGACCGGCAGCTAGGCCTTGTTCTGGGGATACGGCCTGGCGGACTAGCAGACGGGCAGATGCGTACAATGCAAGTTGATGAGTAATGGCATTATTCCCAAAACTACCATGAACTGATTTAGAAACCCTCACGTTCCCTCTGGGAGGGGTGCTTCCAGCACCCTCAGTTTTCAGATGAGGAAACAGGCCCGGAGAGGGAGGGTCACCTGCCCGAGGTCATGTGCCACCAAATGCATGAAAAGCAGAATCCAGCACGATGGTGGGCAGGGTCAGCGCTGCTTGGGGAGGTGGGGGACCCTAGAGGCTGAGCAGGAGCCTGTGGGGGAGGGGAGAGGGGCCGGGGAGGGAGCACCCCACAGGGAGCCAGGGATGAAGGAAGAGGTGGGCCGGCAATGTGCAGGGGAGCACGGGAGGCGTCTAGGGGAGTGGGCCTGGCAGGCTGAGGGGCACACTGAGGGGTCCGGAGGTTATAGCCGGCATCCAGAAACCATGAGCCATGAATGGGGCTGAGCCTGGGCGGGACGTGACAGTGTTTACAGGCGGGGAGGGAGCCTGCTTCTGGAGGCTTGGGGCCCAGACAGGGCAGGGGTGCAGTGGGGGGCCGGACTCACCGTCGGGGCCGCTAGCAGCAGCATCAGGCCACAGGTGGAGGCCCTTTTCTCCAGCCGGTCTGAGATCACACCTGCCAGGATCCCACCTGCAACACAGCGGGGTGAGGCCCAGGGTGCTTGGGTCCCCAGGGCAAGAGCCCATCGAGAGGAAGTAGAGTATACAAGAGAACCCGCTCCTTCCCCATGGCCCTGTCCATGTTCACCATCTCAGTGAACAGGCCTCGTGGGACCGTGGGCAGATGTGGGTGACCCGGGGGCATCTCCCCGTGAGACAGAGGGCAAGTCTTGGGTCTAGTTCCAGGCTGGCCCTGAAGCCCCTTCGCTGTCAGGGCACCTAAACCACCAGTCTGCCGCCTGCTACGAGGCGGGCCCCTGCTCCCTGCTTCCGAGGGATCGCCAGTTTGGGCTCGGAGTCAGATGCGGGACAGGAGACCGTCCCCCAGAGGGACGGCCATACGTCCACTCAGGTGATGTGATGTTTTGGGGGTCGTGTGTTCCTCTCAATAGGAAGTCAGCTCAGAGAGAACACAGGCCCAGGTGTTCACCTACTGAGGGCAAAGTTTCCGTCCAAGTACAACAGGGAGGGAAGGACTCACCGAAGATCCCACCCACATCAAACAAGGTGGAGAGCTCCCCGGCTTGTCTGGCGTCCAGGTGATCTAACAAAACGACAAGCGTCCTTGTGAGCAAGTCACAGCAAAGGAAGACTACACGTGGCACTCATTTGTGTCCTAAGGGTGACTTACACCAATAGCAGCTAAGAGTTGACTCTGCAGTCCCCTATGCAGGAAATGCACAGAAAAGACCAAAGCCACTCTTTACCAAGAAATGAGGATTTGCCCGGCTCAGCCTAATTACCATCCCCTCTGGTTCAGTGTCCCCCAGGGGTGGCCGTAAGTTGGGCGCAGCGGAGAAGGTGGTAAGGACTGCCTGGCACAGAGAGGCTCTGGCACGGCAGGAGGGCCGTGGTCACTGGCCAGCTGACCCTGAGGCTTTAGGTCTGGAGGGACTGGAGCTCCTCATACAGCAGAGGAGGGAGCCACACTGGACTCCCCAGGGGACTCAGGTTGGCCCGTGCAGGAGAAGTGGGCTGGGGAAGCATTTGGGACCGTGGGTCAAGCCCAGCCTTTCCTGGTGACCTCAGTGCCATATACAAGGGACTTGGCTTTTTTAATCACTGGGACTGGGAAAGCCAGCAATTCGTGACTAGACTCCTGAAAATGTCACCCCTTCTGCAATCGCAGGGAACAAAGGAAGAAAGAAGGTAGGACACCTGTCTACGCTGCATGTGGCCTGCCTGCCCTAATGGAGTCACGTGACAGGGAGCAGCTCCTTACTGTCCCCCCAATGTGGACGGTCCCCTTACTGCCTCACTGCTGTCCCTGTGAAACCCAGCCCTCTTGCCTCGGGCTCACGGCCACCTCTGCTTGCCCTTAGTGACCACCGGGAATATGCGGTGTTGGGGCCCAGGGCAGGCTGCCCCAGGATGGGCCACATTGGCATAAAGATTATTTTGAGTTAAGGGGGCACCTGGGTGGCTCAGTCGGTTAAGCATCTGACTCTTGATTTCGGCTCAGGTCATGATCTCAGGGTCATGAGATCGAGCCCCATGTCAGGCTCTGAGCTTAGGGTGGAGTCTGCTTGAGATTCTCTCTCTCTCCCTCCCCCTGCTCATGCACTCTCTAAGTAAATAAATAAATAAATATTTAAAAAAGTTTATTTCGAGTTAAAGCAATTAAAACCCAGCAGATTCAGGAAAAGCTCTCTGCCTCCCCCACAACTGCCCAGGTTTACACTGGGAGGGCAAGCCTGTACCAGCGAGGGGGCTATTACCAAAGACTCCCCTTTATCTAAGGAACTGATCTGCATAAGGGGGCAGCCCTGTGTTTTCCAAACACCTCCTCTCACCTGCCTGCTAGTGCGCTTTCACCCCCCTGTACCCCCAGACCCATGCCCGCTCCTGAGTTCATGTAAGCTTCATGTTGCCTCGCTGTCTTTGAACTGTCCCCGTCTGTGTGGATTCCCTGTACGCATGCTCTTAACTGTGAGTTTCTCTGGGCATCTGTCACATGGCATTTTGATTCTTTTTTTTTAAAGATTTTATTTATTCATTTGAGACACAGAGATACAGAAAGAGAGAGAGCATGAGCAGGGGAAGAGGCAGAGGGAGAGGGAGAAGAGGGCTTCCTGCTGAGCCAGGAGCCCGATGTGGGGCTCGATCCCAGGACCCCGGGATCATGACTGGAGCCGAAGGCAGATGCTTAACCATCTGAGCCACCCAGGCACCCCTGGCATTTTGATTCTAAGTCCAGCTAGAAGCACCACGGGGCAGAGGAAGGTCTTCCTCCCCGACACTGGTCTGTGCTCTGTGAACCCCCACGTTCCAAATCTCCCCTCGTTGTCACATTCCCCAGAGCCCACATCTCTGCGGGGCCCTGGTTTCTTTCCTTTCTCCTTGCAATTCCTGGCTCCAGGGCCCTCCCTGACTGTCCCCCAGCCCCCTTCAGCCATGGTTGCAGCCCCTGCACTCCAGCATCTTTTAAGAATGGCCGGTGACCCTCTTGACCTTCCCTCTGTGGTCACACACAGCACAGGGGTGCACGGTGCCGGTGGGCCGGTGAATTCTGTCCTATCTACGGCTTCAGCCACGGCCGGACTTAGGAAACAGGCTGTTGGCTGTCCCTAAAACTAGAGCTCACCTCCAAGGAGCAATTTCCAGGTCAGATGACTCAGCATTTATTATCTCAGATCCCCGGGGCCTCCCCTCCTCACGGGAGGGTGTGACCTGAAGTTCGATGTAGCCTAGATTGAAATGCAGGCCGCCCCAGATAGGAAGAGCCCCATGGAGCTGGCAGCCACAGCTGGGAACACAGGTCCCCTTAAGCCCCACCAGCGTTATTATGGCAATACAACTTCCATATCCGAATTCTCCTTTTGCCTCTATTTTTCTACTAATCCCACTGTTTGATCCAAAAGTACGTCTCAACTCATCATGCATCATGAGGCTCTAGAAATCAGCACGTAAAAGGGAGTCCAGATCACAGCCCCTGCACGAACGTAACATCGGTGCTTCCAGCAAGATACTCACCCACGTTTGTGATGTACAGAGGGAGCCAGAAGAGGAAGGTATAGCTGACCAGCTTTGCAAACAGCAAACACAGGGAGAACTCGATCACACCCTGGAAAAGAGAGAGCCAGGCTTTATCCCAAGTGTGTACACAGCAGGTTTACTGAAATGAGCAACACAATTAGGAGTTACTTCATTCCCATAAAAACAGCCAGCATGTCTGTCTGGTGGGGCACCTGCAGAAGCCGCGGGGAGGGGGGGCGGCATCTGTGGGGCAGGGTGCCGCCCGAGGATGGGGGCGGCGGGGTGGTCAGAGGACCCACCCATGGCCACTCTTGCAGCACCTGCCTATCTTTGCAGATGGAGACCCAAGGTCTTGACGTCAGATCAGAGTCCATAAAAGTATGCGCTGATTTGATTCCCACACCACATCGCTCTGGAAACCTAGCTGTTAAAGGAGTTCTCAAAGAGCGTGCCTGGAGGGGCCACCTTGTCTCTGTGCATGCGGTGCTCTCTCTCCTTTTGCTGGAAACACTGCAAACCACGCAGCGGCCGACACACACAGGACAGGCCTTCCGACCAGTCACAGTGCTCACGCGTGCCCAGACCTGCACCCGACAAAGTGGGGGCACTGGGAAGACACCAGGAAGAGAAATGTGGGTCTCGACGAGGACCCCGGGGCCTGTGGTCTGACGGCTGCTGTCAGAGTCCTGTCTGTGTTCTGCCTGAGCTCTGCTCTTAGAAAGACGTGGCATCACAAGACACGCATCCCAGACGTCTTGGGGAGGTCTGGGTGAGACACGGGGTCACACTAGGGTGTCACGCCATGTGCGCACAGGGACACCCACCAAACTAGGCAGAGGACACAAATCTGAATTTATGCGATTCTGGAATTACCCGAGCTAGCGTCTCACGGCGGCTAGCTCAGTCCGAGGATGCAGGAGGACCACACGCCCCGCGCGGCGCTCACCACTGTCCTGAGCGACCTCATTCAATCCTCGGAACAGTAAGTGTGGCACCAGGCCCCGAGCCCCGTTGCAGATGAGGAAACAGAGGCTCCGAGTGGCTGGCACACTTGCCTGGGACCCCCAGCGCGTCTGTGGCCGGGCCGGGCCGCGGCTCCACCTTCGCCCTATAACTGTGTGCGTCCTACCCTCAGCCGAGCAGACGCACTGGAAGGCACCACCGGGAAAGTTACTAGTTGTTATTAAGGGTGCCTTCTTATTTAGACGCAGCCAGCCCACATTCTCAGTGGCTCTGGGAGCCCCGCCTGGCCTTCCACGCTCGCCACTGGCCGGATGCCCAGCTTCTCTGGGTGCTGCCAGGACTTTCTGTTCTCTAGCACAAGTTCTCTGAAGTCCTTTCACTTCGGTGACGTGATTCTCAGCTCCCGGGTGTACGGTTTGTTTCCTGCCTCACCCAGTCGCTAAGGGCCTCTGGGCCTGTGCCCCCTCGGCCCTTTCTCACTGGGGGCCGCGCTGGTGAGGCGGACCCTGTCTGTGTGTGACATCTGCAGCAGCTCCAGTGACATCGCACCCAAGGGCAGGAGTCCAGACGTTTCTAGGCGCGGCCCACGGCCCGGACTTCCTCCCCACGTGGGCAGTGTTGGCGATCTCCTCTCTCCACCTGCTTCTGCCCTGGGCTCTGCTTTCATTGCCCACCATGGCTGGCCATGTGAGAAGAACACATTTTCCACGTGTCCTCTGTGAGCCCCCCAGATTCTCTGCTGAGGGAGCCCATGAATTTCATACAAGAAAAACCTAAAGCAACAAGAAATCTCACCAGGGCACAGCTCCCTGCCCTGTGTGGAAAAACCTCTCCCTGGACCTCCTTCACGCCCTGACCACACACCAGCGCGCCCGCCAGCAGGCGCTCCGTGTGCCCGTCGGGCCTGGAGCCAGGCCCACCGCCCCCGCACGGCCCAGCACTCTGATTTTTAAACAACGAACAGAGTCTGCGGACCAGCAGCGTTGTGTGCCCAGGGGCTTGTCTCTTCCCTTGGCTCTGCGCACTCCCCCCACTACTCCTTTCGTTAGCACATGCAGCTCCAACACACCAGCTTTGTTCTCCTGAAAGCACGTTAAAGGGTAAAGCAAACCGAGTGGGCTCACCAACACCCCAGAGTGGGACTTGGGGACAGTGCCCCCACCCCGGGGGGGCTCACACTCAGGGTCTTCAGGACCAGGGCGGGGCTGGGCCACGGGGCAAGGGGCTTGCTGGAACCAGACGGTCTGGTTTCCCAAGTGGAGATGGGAAGCCCTATTTGTCAACGAAATGGGTGAACTTCTACATGCAGGCAACTAGTTTTGAAAAACTGAAAGCTTAATGTGAGGCAAACAGACATGGCAGCCTCACCCAGTCCCGAGATGGCCTGCCGGCAGCCTCTGATTTATGCAGCCGAGTATATGACCGCGGGTTTCTTTTGTTAAGCTTGCTAACCAACAGGAGGCACAAATGCCCCTTCCTGAAACTCCCCCCAGGCGCGTGTACTCACGGGGATCCTCAAGGCCCCGGTGAAGCTGATGGGGGCCGTGCTGCCCCTGCCATCAGCTGGGAGGACAAGGACGTGGTTCTGATGGACGGGGTGCTTTCCGCCTGACAGCAACAAGCACTGCATCTCGGGGTCCTGGAGGTGAACCCCATTGGGAAGGAAAGAGAGGAGAACAGGTGTTAGCAGGGAGTATGCATCTGGCTGAGTGGGGCCAGAACTCCTGAGCAGGACGCTGCTCCCCTAGGTCATGGGGTCATCCTGGGTAAGCTGCTCACAGGGTCCTCGCCTTAGAGGTCTGAACGCCCATGTGTCTCTAGGAAATGCTAACTAGAAACATGCAAAATCCTTTGACCCAGCAATCTAGGAATCTATTTGTGAAAGATAATTTGAAAGGCGGAAAAATACCATAAACTGAACCTTGCACCACCAGGGAGAACTGGTCAAGTGCATCCATATAAAGGACATATCTTGTTGCGGTCGTTAAAAAAAAAAAAAAAGCTGGTGAGATTTTAATGCTTATGTCCCATTAACTACATTTTCAATATGATCTTTAAAAACATTTTAGTATATACCTATTACATATCTAGGTAACTAGAGGGATCTAATTATAGTGGAAAAAGCAGATAAATTCTAAACTGACAATGGTTATCACTGAGTAATAGAATTACGTGTGATTTTTAGGGAAAGGTCAATAGGTCAATAAATTCTTTACATGGTCCTGTATTTTCTAAGGAGTTCACAATGGACACCCATTACCAGAAATAACATTATTTTAAAATTCATAAAGCACTTCCAATATTCTGTAAATTCCAATTCTGGACATTCCTAAAGGACAGTTTGCCTTCATTAAAGCAAAGAACAATGCTCCCCAGTTAGGGGATGGGGGCCAACTCAGAGCCAGGATGATCTAAAGATGTTCTTCATGAGTGAACCATGAAGGTCCAAAACTTACAAAGAAATGTTTCTGTGCATCTCACACTTTCCACAAAGTTGAACAGTTTTACTGTGTTTATCTCACTACAACCTATATGCAAGTTTCAAAGTGCAGTTAAATTAGGAAAAAATAATGCGTTGCCATATTCCTCTCTCGATATTCAGAATTCTCTTCCAGGGAAGAACAGAAATTGGCATCCTGGAAGGAAGGCTCCAGCAGCCGGCCCCTGGGGTGACCCAAGGTCCCCATCACTGAGAAGCTGATGTCCAACAACGATGTGGCCTGGTGATGCGCCTACTCACACTTAAGCATATAATCTGATGTTTCCGAGGGAGGATGACAAACCCCCAGTGGAACCGCTCATCTTCCTAACGACAATTCCATAACAGCATACAGAAACAGAGAACTAGGGTCTGAGTCTGCAGTAAAGAACTTCTCTCTCTTGAATGACGCTGCTAGCGGTCCCATTCAGGAGACCAAATTGATAGTTGTCAATCACAGGTAAACACCGCAATCTCCAGGGCTGTGAGGGAGCCTGGTGCTCGGGCTGCACCCCGGACCAGTCACAGCAATCTCGGGGGACAGGCCCCGGGAGAGTCTGGCGTGCAGTCAAGGCTGAAAACTGCAGGACAGGTTCTGTTTAGTTTTTAAGAATTTTAAGGTATGAATTATGATGTAACAGAAATCAGTCAACAATATGTGGTTTCATCACTTTCATGAATACTGTCACCAAACCCATGAAATTCTATATATCTTATTAAATTGCTTCACTGAATAAAAGATGTATTATAACAAACTTGCAAATGAATGGAATGAAGAGTCTAAACTAGGAAATGTATGAACTATAGGAAAAAATAGACTTTCAGACCACTTATGGGAAAAAATACTTTCCGATTCATTACTTTCAAATGAATTGATACCTATGTGTAGCTATCAATATACATAGTTACTATACTATTTTAATAAGGTATTTGTTTTTTTTTTAATTTTAATTCCCGTATAGTTAACATATAGTTTAGGGTGTACAATATAGTGATTCATCACATTACATACAACACCCGGTGCTCATCATAACAGGTGCGCTCCTCCTTAATCCCCATCGCCTATTTCCCCCATCACCCTACCTACCTCCCCTCTGGTGACCATCAGTATCTGTTCCTTGGTTTGTCTCTTTTTCCCCTTTGCTCTTTTGTTTTAATTCCACATGAGTGAGATCATATGGTATTTGTCTTTCTCTATTTCGCTTAGCATAATACCCTCTAGTTCCATCCATGTTGCTGCAAACAGCAAAACTGCTTTCTTTTTTTTATGGTTGAGTAATATGCCCCCCCCACACACACACCTTCATTTCTCCTTTATCCATTCATCTATCAGTGGATACTTGGGCTGCTTCCATATCTTGGCTACTGTAAATAATGCTGCAATAAACATAGGAGTGCATGTATCCTTTGAATTAGTGTTTTTGTATATTTTGGGTAAATACCTAGTAGTGCGATTTCTGGATCATAGGGTAGTTCAATTTTTACTTTTTGAGGAACCTCCATACTGTTTTCCAGAGTGGCTGCACCAGGTTGCATTCCCACCAGCAGTGTAGGAGGGGTTCCCTTTCTCTGCATCCTCGCCAACATCTGTCGTTTCCTGTGTTGTTAATTTTAGCTATTCTGACTGGTGTGAGGTGATACCTCATTGTGGTTTTGATTTGCATTTCCCTGACGATGAGTGATGTTGAGCACCTTTGCACGTGTCTGTTGGCCATCTGGATGTCTTCTTTGGAGAAATGTCTGTTCGTGTCTTCTGCCCATTTTTAAATTGTATTGTTGTTGTTTGGTGTTGAGCTTTACAAGTTCTTCACAGATTTTGAATACTAACCCTTTATCAGATATGTCAATTGCAAATATCTTCTCCCATTCCGTAGGTTGCCTTTTAGTTTTGGTGTTTCTTTCCTTCACTGTGCAGAAGCTTTTTAAAATTGAGAGGTCCCAACAGTTAATTTTTGGTTTTATTTCCCTTGCCTCAGGAGACATATCTAGAAAGATGTTGTTAGGGCTGATATCAGAGACATTACTATCTGTGCTCTCCTCTGGGATTTCTATGGTTTCAGGTCTAGGACAGGTGTTTGTAAACACTAAAGCAGGCTCTCCAAGGGATGGCATGTAACCAGATAAAGAGAAAACGCAGAGTGAACAGATCCTGCTCAGGTAAGAGAAGAGGGGCTCTAGCCTGGAGCAGGAATTGCACATGGAAACCACCCTGGCCCTTCCCGGGTCTGTAAAGTGTTTCTGGGCCACTCGCTGGGCTGGTGGAAAGCCCCAGATCCAGCCCTTCAGCTCTTTATCTAAGCTTGGCCTTTGTTGGAAAGGGCCCCCTGCCCACAGTCACTCATCTTTATGCACAGCTCGGGGGCTCCCAGCTACCAAATTCCAGTCCTTTGCAGTGTCTGGAGGACACAGAGGGAAAGTGGGAAGTCACGGTGGGTTTTCCAAAACAAACCAGGAGAGCAAAGCTGCCTCCTTACAGAGCCAGACACCCCCTGGGTCGATCACGACATGGGAAGCTGTGCATCAAGGGCCCTACAGGGTCTGATGGCACCTGTGGAGCCCTCGGCGGGGGGGGCCTTCTTCAGCCAGGGAACCCCACTCCTAGCCTTAGGAGTCAGAGAGCAACAGAGCTCCATGCGATTAAAACAGACGCAGACACACACACGGCGGGGGAGGGGAAGCGTGTAATAATGCACTGATCTAAATGTGATAAGCCCCCGCCACGCCCTCCGCTGCCTGCAGCTACACTGTGCCAGAAGGTCGCTCCCAGGGATTTGTGGATTCCCACTGGTGTGCCACGTGGTCACCTTTAGCATTAAAACACCCACTCAGTGCTCAGGAAGTGTTTGCTGAGCCACAGCCAATCAGAAAGATCCTCAGAGAAGCCAAGGATGGGCAATGACACGTGACTACAAGGTGACAAACTTCGACCATCCACGAGCCAATCATCCTAAAGACCCGAAGGAGGGAAGAGGGTCCTCCTGGCTCCGTGAGGCCAGAGCCCCTTCCTCTTTGCTCATCCTTGCTTCCTCACCCGCCCCTTTCCTTTCGCCCTTCCTCACGAAGTTGTTCAGCATCCTGCCTGGCACAGAAACGGTGGTGATGGGGGGGCTGGGTGACATTTAACTCCGAGCCCAAAGGATCTGAGCCGGGTCATTCTGGGAAAGGGGACACCAGGATGTCCGGCCGAGCTTGGGGGGCATCCTGTCCAGTGACCCGAGAGCCACCTCCAGTGCCTGAGCCCTTCCTGCCACGTAAGGGACAAGGGACCAAAACCTGCTTGGTCATGGGCACATCAGGGTCAGCCTGTGGTGTGGCCAGGCCCGAAGAGACAAGACCTGCCAAGGCCTCTCCGGTGACATGTTAGTCAACAGACTTTGGCAGAAGGAGCAGGAAAGGGAAGAGGGAAGTGACACTCAAGAAGACGGGGCCAGCTCGACTGGTCAGTACTGTGCCACGACACAGGGTCCAGGGTCTTGCCTCAAATGAAGAAGTCAGTCTTCAGTAACAATCAGGAGTTGCAGCTGTTTGGACATCGATTAACACCTGATGCTGCGGACCCACTATTTGTTCCTCCACAGTTCCTGAGTGGAAGCCCAAGCCTTACTGTGGTGCGTGGAGCCCTCAGGATGGGGTCCGTGCCTTGTAACGAGAAGCCCCAAGAGTCTGTGTCCCTCCCCATGCTTGCTTTGTGAAGCGGCCTGCTGCAAGCCCAGAAGTGGGCCTCTCCAGACCCCAGACTCCCCTGTGCCTTGATCTGGGACTTCCTGCCTCCAGAAGAAATGTGTGCTGTTTAAACCACACAATCTATGGTAATTTTGCTGAAGCAGCCCAAACTAAGGCACCCAACTTCTTAAATGCACCCTCAGCAATGAGTAGAGAGATTAGAGCTTTCCAGTTGGATTTCCCTACATTCCAAGAACCATGATGTATGAGACATCATTTTTCCCTTTCCCATTATTTCAACCACCACAAATAAGTTTCCTTAGGCAGTAAAGAAAAAAAAAGTAAGAAGCCCATTTGGTACATTTATCCTTCAAGGTATTTGATTTAAAAAGAAAAGAACTTACAATATCGGTGAGTAAAACTGAGTCTGAGATGCCCCCATGGCTCAGTGCTGTGAAGCAGAGCCCCACGAAGGACTGGTCGGAAGTACCCTGAAAGGGAAGGGGCCCACTGCACTGCCTCGAGGACTTCCTTCTGAGGAGGACCAGGCAGGTCCCTGAGCACTCTGCCTCAGTTTCCTCATATGGAACATGGGAGTGGCAGGGTGGAGGCTTGGGAGATGACTCTCTATGTTGCCTCTTGGGCCCACCTCCCATCCCCAGTCCTCCCTGTGCATCCCCTGAACCCCCCCGGCCCAGGTGCGTGCAGATCCCCGCCCTTCACAGCTCTATCCACGCCCCCTGTGTAGGGACAGCTCCCAAGACCGGACCTGGACCAGTGTCTGCTCACCCCTCGTTGGGCTCTGTGCCTGGCATTTAGCTGCTGCAGGAAACTGCTGGTGCCCCGTCTGTACCCCACCCTGCCCCCCAGAATGGGAGTCCACAGGAGCAGGGTGGACACTCTGGCTGAGGCTCCGGGCGCCGCCTGACCTAGAGCGTGTCTGGGACACTGAATGCTGCCAACAGTCGTGGAATGAGTGCATCGCTTTCAGGTTGATTACAAACTTAAGGTTCGGCCTGCTACCTAAAAAAACCGCACAAGGCACACACGGGTCTTATGGAAGAAATATGAGACCCAAGTTTGTCACCGAGCCTGGGCTCTGATCTCTGCCGAGCAGCAGAGGCTGGTCCAACTCACCAGAGGCTTGTTCTTGTTGTCCGTGAAGACCTGCTTCTGCAGTCGGAATCTGTGTGTGCCGTTCTCACAGCCCTTCGGCTTCGGGGAGAGGAAAGCACGGTGAGCAATTACCGAACCGACAGCCAGCCACCACCTCTAGCTGCAGGGTGGCAAGGGCGCTTGGTGCGATCCCCACAAACACCTCCCAAGCGCCAGTAAGACCCATGATTCAAATAAAACACAGGCTCAGTCGGCCGAGCGACCAACTCTTGATTTCGGCTCAGGTCAGGATCTGGGGGGCATGGGGTCGAGTCCTGTGCTGGGCTCCGCGCTGTGGAGTCTGCTGGAGATTCTCCCTCCCTCTTCCTCTGGCCCTCCCCCTGCTCACGCTCTCTCTCTCTCTCTAATAAACAAATAAAATAAAACAAAGGGCTAACTGGGGGCTCTAGACCCTCAGATAAAAGCAGGTGAGAAGAAGATCCTTTCGGGAAGAATGATCTAAGACTGAGGTGCGGGGACATAAAAAGCTGCTGATTGTGGCAACTTCACTTCCTTCATGCTCTGACATTTTTAAACAACCTTGAAAGGAAAGGCCTGTAGAAACAATATTGGGCAATGTTCTTCTCTGACGAGTGAGGAACCGAGGCCCCTCCTAGGTCAGGAGACCGTTCAGAAGGCAGGGTGTGTGCCCAGAGGGGACGCGTGTGTCCCCTCCCTCGGCTGGGCACCTCGGAGTGGAGCTGCTGGGCCAGCTCTAAGGGTTAATTCACCGCACAACTAAACACTGATCCCTGTAAACTCTGAGACTGAAATTCATGCTCGTGGCAGGAAAAGGGCTTTTTAAAAAAATGTTATAAAATATCAACTATAGGTTTTTTTTTAACGTGGCCTTTAGCCTTCCTGAAGGAAGTGATTTTCAAAATTGAGTTTTGGCTTATTTTTGCTTAAGAATGTACCAGAACTCTTCTTTTCTAACTAACTGTGCTCAAAATCTCCACATATTGCCAATGGACGGCAGGCAGCAGGACGCTCTGGCCCCAGGGCCCTTGCACATGGCAGCCGCGGCCCCGGCGGAGAGCAAGAGGAGACCCTGCCCTGGGGTTGCCACCTTGAGTGACTGGCGGTGAGAGGTAAGCGGGATGTATGCCACGGAAAACGGGGAGCCGCGGGAGGCTATCAGTCAAGTCAGGGACCTGCTCTGACTCCTACTTCGAGAAAATCTTCCCAGGTGAAGTGTGAAGCATGGGTTTTGGAGGAGCAGAGGGGAATTGCTTGAGGAGCCTCAGAGGACAGACGCCGGTGCCATGGGCCCCAGTGGTGGAGGGGACATCCCGCATGTCTAGGAGGACTCCTGTGGATTTGGCCTGCCCGTGGCGAGGACAGGGGTTCCCGACTGAGACAGGGAATGTGGGGCCCAGCAAGTTTATGGGGCGGAGAGATGACCCTCGCTGTGGCACATCTGAGCCCCCCAGAGCCCCCGGCAGGGATGGCAGGGGGGTGGTGGCATGTGTGACCGTGGAGCTCAGCGGGAGGCCCTGGCGCACAGGGAGGCGCGGACGGCCAGGGCCTGTGCGGATCTCCGGCGGGGAGGGCGCGGACAGGTGCTCGCGCATCGGGGGTCCGGCAGAGGCACAGGGCCGGCAAAGCGCTCTGTGTGGGCACGACGGGGGTGTGAGAACCGGGACAGCATGGCGTCTGGAAGCCCGAGAAACAGTGCCCCCCCACCCAGGGGAGGGAAAACGCGTGTAAACGCCCGGCAGCAGGCCGTGGGGTGGGGCCAGAGGCTGAGCACACGCGGCCAGACGCTGCTGCTGGGACCAGGCCAGGCTATTTCAATGGGATGGTGCAGGCCTGAGGGAGGGAGAGGAGCCATGCAGCGGAGTGAGGGAGGGGCTGACTCGCGGGGTCCGCTCTAAGGTAAGCGGGGAACCAGGCCACAGAGCCTTCGTCCAAGGCGGGGACACCACCTGCGGGAGCAACGCAGGGAAGAGGGAGAACGACGCAGGGGGAAGGGGGACGGCAGGATGGGGCAGACCCGGCCTCATGTCAGCCTCTGCGGGGACAGCTGCCCAGGACGCACCACGCTCCTTGTCCGGGTTTCCGCCGCTGTGGTGACGACTGGCCCTTCTCTAGCACTGCCCCTATTTTGAGGGCGGGACCTAGGCCCACACTTGTTACCCACTGACACTGCACAGACTGGACCAGGCTGATGACAGTCATCAGACACCTGGCCGAGGGCACACCGTCCTAGGAGACACAGGTGGCGGGGGGCTGGGTGGCTCAGGTCAGGATCCCAGGGTCCTGGGATCGAGCCCTGCATTGGGCCCCCTACTCAGCGGGGAGCCTGCTTCTCCCTCTGCCTCTGCTGCTCTCCCTGCTTGTGTGCTCTTTCTCGCTCTCTCTCAAATAAATAAAATCTTTAAAAAAAAAAAAAGGAGGGGAGGGGGGTCCTTACCGCCGCCAGGGAGGAGGAGCAGGCAATGTCCTTCGGATCTGAAACACCAAATGGGAACAGCGGTGAACCCAGGGCTGGGCATTTCCACCACCCACGAAATTACACCAGAACAAGACACCACCTGATACTTGACCAACGAGCAAGACTTGAAGACGACGACAACGGGCACGGCAGCACCCCGCCACGCACGCCCCACACCCCTGTCCGTCAGGCCCCGTGACACACGCAGGTGGAGGGGGGAGCCCCGGCAAAGGCAAGCCGTCGCACGTGTGAAAACGGCTCTGCACCTCGGGAAAGACTTCACACGGGACAAGTGCAAATGAGCAGAGCGTGTGCGTACTACGGTGACGAGCCACGGAAGACACACAGATGGGCAAGGATCAGGAGGAACCGTGAAGACGTGAGTAGCGGGTGACCTGTAACATTTGTGGTGGGTTGTTCCACATTACGGAATTAATTACAAATACAAATTAGTGGGGACAAAACATCTACCTTGATAAAGAACAAGGGGCCTTTTTATCTAAACGCAAAGAAGGAAGGACACGTGCGAAGTCACAGACCGACAGCCAGACCTACGGCCACGAGGAGCCGGGGGGAGCAGACCCCCTTCTTCAGAATCCAGGCAGCGGCCTCAAACAGCTCTGCCCCGCCCCCCGCCCCCGAATCCGGGTCTTTTTGTAACTTTGGGTAGAAGAGCTTCGCGGGCACACCAACAGCCCGGCTGGAGCCCGGCTGGAGCCCAGCTGCGGCCCAAGTGAGGAGGAGGAGCCGGGGGGTTCTCTCCGCTCACACACTGCTGCGCGGGGGCCCGGGGGCCCAGCATGAGGGGAAGTCAGCAGGCTACAGAAATGCCTATCATGAGGCCAGCTCGTGGCGCTGCCTCCGGAGCAAAGTCACCGCGGAGCAGAGGGGAGCCGTGTGCAGAGCCGCCCGTCCCGACCGCGGCTGCAGGGAGATGGGGGGTGCGTGGTGGGGTAAGGGCACTCCCCCAGACAAGCCACATCTGAGCAGACAGGCCTATGTGGGGGTCAGGGGCTGTACTGCGGTGAGAGGTCCCCCTGCTGAGAGGTACGGTCTGGTCTGCACGCCAGAGCGATGGGGGCCGCGAGCCCCGTTGACCTCCTCACGGCTCCTGCTGGGGGGGCCTCATCAGGGGCAGGAAAGAGAAGGGCCTGGAACACCGCAGTGCATCCACCTCTTCTCGCACAGATGCTCGGGCCTGCAGGGAAAGGAGGGTGGGAGGGCAGGCGAGGAGGAGTGGGGGCTGCGGACGCAGAGCGAGGGAGTGAAGAGGGGCTGCGGTTAGGGCCAGCGCATGTCCCAGGAGCAGTGGCCAGTCGTGCATTTAGTCGGCAGGGAGAAGCTCACATAGTGGAATGATGGCAGCTGAGAAGACACGGAAATGTGGTATTTCTCAGATCCTTTTTAAGTGAAGAGTTCCCACTGTCCCAGAGAATAATGTTCAACCCCCTGGGTTCTACGGAACCCAGGTTTGAGAAACAGACTTCAGAAGAACCTACACTCTCCACTGCAAGAAAATGTCTTTCAAATGCATATTGTCTCTATGAGAAAAGGCAGTGTTTATCATATACAAAGTTTGTTTTTTTTAATTATCATCTAAGTGAAAAAACATTTTTTTAATTGAATCCATAAGAACACATCCTAAGGACCTAAGGGTCCATGGCCAAAGTATGGGAACGTCTGAATGGGTGAGCAGGCACCTGGTTACACCCCAACTTCACCATTTACTGTGTGACCTTGGGCAGGTCACCTACGGCCCCTGAGCCTCAAGACCTTCCCCTGGAAATCCGTGAAATTATATCTGCACTGAGCCTGGCATCGTGCCTGGGACACAGGGAGCACCTGCTACACGGTGGCCGCCTCTCCCCTGAGAATGTTCTCCTGATGATGGGGAAGAAGGGCCACAGGGCACGTGTTCACAGATTACTGGGAGAGTCTGAAAGATGTCTTAACTCCAGTGCAAATAACAAAGTAAACCTCGGATTTTAATACAAGAGGGTAGATGCCAACACCAGTGGGAGCCCACAGTGAAGATGGGGCCCAGAAGGAGGACATCTGGTGGGAAGGCAGAGAAATGCCAGGGCCAGGTGTCCACGAGCCCCCACCCCCCACGCCAGTAGCAGCAAGCCTCCCGGGATGGCCTCGCAGGCACGGTCCCCTGGCTTCAAGGCTTGGTGGGCCTGGGGAAGCTGAGGGCTTGTGCTTCTGTCCCCCAGCAGGCCAGGGCGGAGAGAAGCAGCGCTCCAGGGGCTCTGCAGGCACAGGATGGGGCCACAGGCAACCCCTGGATGGAGCGGGAGGCCCCAACAAGTGGGGGGACGGTGGCTCCAGGAGAGCCCCATGGGGACCCCCTCCGCCCTGTCCCACCCCCTCGGAAGCCACAGGAGGGGAGGCTTGGTGGGAAGGAGGCTCTCATTTTATTACAAAAGACAAACCACAGCTTCCTTGTTCTTAGGAGCCCTGCCCTGAGCAGAGGACGAGGCCCCACCCGGGAGAACTGGGCTGAACAGGTACGAGTGCTAAGATCCGGGCCGGCCGGCAAACCCACTCACATCTCCTGCCACACACCCCATTCCTCATCGCGTTTCCTCTTTCCCCCAGAACCAACCCTTCATCGGTTGAGGAAGAGAAGAAAAGGGACCGTGGACTCTAGACCTCAGGCCGGACGCACCCGGGGGCCCCTGTTCACGAGCCAAGAGGACACACACTGTTCTCTGGGTGACTAATGCGTAAGGAACAGGCTGGAGCGCCCCGTGACAGAGCTCCGCGGGCTAGAGAGCCAGCCTGGAGAACAGGTGACACAGGGGACCTTTCCCGGAACTCTGACACTCACTCCACAGTTAAATGCCACAGGCTGGTGATGTTGGTAAGCGGGCTCAAATACCCCCACCTGTCTCACAGTTCACCTGCTGCGGCCGCGGGGAGACGCTCGCCCCCCCAGGGCACGGTGGCCGCCCCTCCCTGCTTGCAGCGGCCATCCGCCTGAGGCCTCAGCGGACCACGGCCCCTGTCCTCCCCGACAGAGGCCGGCCTGGAGCCTCACACCTGTGCGGTTAGACAATAGTTCCTTTACAGTGGAAAGGTTAGCGTTAGCCATGAGAAAAGGGAGAGCAGAAGCTGAGCAAAACACGCCTTAACGTCCTGGACGAAGCCGGCAGCTCGGGATGCAAAGCTGAAGCTGCACTTGACACCCAGCCCGGATGGCGTAGCGGAGCTCCTGAGCTTCCCGGCCTGAAGTCAACGGCAGGCAGCTGTCGGCTACCGTATGGTTTTATTTTGCTTTAAGCCAAGTCGAAGAGGCAAATGCCCAATACAGCTCCTCAGAAGAGCTTGGGGGAGGGCGCCTGGGTGGCTCAGTTGGTTAAGCGACTGCCCTCAGCTCAGGTCATGATCCTGGAGTCCCGGGATCGAGTCCCACATCAGGCTCCCTGCTTGGCAGGGAGTCTGCTTCTCCCTCTGACCCTCCCCCCTCTCATGTGCTCTCTCTCATTCTCTCTGTCTCAAATAAATAAAATCTTTAAAAAAAAAAAAAAAAAAAGAGCTTGGGGGATCAGACGCCCTGCCCCACAACAGCTAAAGTGACGTTGGCTTTTCTAACACTGGACTAATTGCAAGGAATCCTTGTCCTGCCAGATCTCTGTTTCGAAAATTAATTTCAAACCCAATTAAATCAGAAGTTTGGTACTGAGTCTAGACGGGAACAAAGAATTTGATTTTCTGGTAGAACCCTCTTCACCTGATTAGGATATATGGTCTTAAGTCATGCAGTGATTTCATAATATTGTCTCAGATAGATCTTATCAGAAGGCAAGCAAGCTGGTGAGAGACCCGTTTGTGGCAGCAAGACGGATGAACAGGTGCAGCCACAGAGGTGAGTGATGTGGCGGGTCTCAGGTAGATATGACACTCCCAGCACAAGGCGAACCACGCACGCCCGACGCTGCGGGGGGGGGGGGGGGCGGGCAGGGTGCGAGGAATTTCCACATCCATTACTCCAGAAATCAGGAGACAACAGAAAATCCTCCAAGAGCTGGAGAGACCGCTCACAGGAGAAGTCTACACCGAAGAGGGAAGTCTACCTGGCCAGGCGGAGAGCCAGGGCCACCATGGGCCTGCACTGGACTGACACAGCCCTTTCCCGTAACAGCTGGCCCTCCCAAGGCATCCCCTCCAAGGCCAAGTGTACTTACGCTCGATGAGAAAGAGAAAGCACACTATCCCCATGGCTGCCACGATGACCCCAGGAACGATGAAGGACAGGCCCCAGCACGAGGACACCCAGTAGCCAGCAATCAAGGAGCCCAGGATGTTGCCCACGGACGTGTGGGAATTCCAGACCCCCATAATCAAACCTCGCCTGCAGCACAACAGAACACAAGACGGCAAATGACGTTGAGGAGCTTCACCGGGCCAGCAGGTGTGGGACAGACCCCAGGATGTGAGAGGTACCACGGAAATCAGCGGGAGTGTGGACGCCACTCCCGGGAGGTAGGGGCTGGAGACGTGCACGAGAGAACAGTGTTCTTATCTTACCTCAGAGGAATAACTGCACACCTCTCTCAGAGCTTAGTGAGTCTACGCTTAGAGAGAGGAAAAGAAGCCTTTCCCTGAACTTCTTGGATGGCCCCAGATTTAAATCTGTGCCTCCATAATCTAAACACAATCATTTGAGGAAATATCCCACTCACAGAGCCCACCAGATGAACAAAGCGGAGAATCTGAACAAGGCTCGCGGAGCTGGGCTCTCGTTCTGCTTTCCCTGTCTTGCTGAGTGGCTTCAGGCACTTCTAACCTTGGGTCTGGCCACACTGTGTGTCACACGGACATCACAATGGGATCTGGACTATGGTCCCGTCACCAGAGGCTGAGTGGGGCTCTGCCGCTGGGCGCTGGGTGACCTACTCAGGACTTGCCACACTTCCATGTGCCTTCGAGTCTTGGGAAGATGTAGCTTCTGCTTCAGAAGATGTGGGGCAGGGCCCTAAGCTCCGTGTTTCTCCCCGGCTTGCAGGTGACCAGCTGCTGGTCAGCTGCGTGAAATGACAGGCTTGACCCGCCCACAATGTGGTGGGGGCAGCAGAGGGGGCGTCTCCCAGGAGGAAGGCCCACCTGAATTCAGCACCCCAAGTCCCAGAGGTTCCAATCACCTTCCCCCATAGAGTGGACTAGTAAAAGTGGCTTTTTCTGCAGTAAATGTAGAGAGTAACTAAAAAGAAGGTGGTGGTCTGGAGTTCATCAGGATCTGAAAAGGTAAATGCTGTTGGAAATGGGGCCACCTTTGCTCACCTTCCTTTTCCAAACCAGTTGCCGAGGCAGGTGACGACGCTGGGCCAGCCGGTCGTCTGCACCAGTCCGTTGATGATCTGTGACAGACAGGATAGAGGGCTCACTGCCAGCCGGAAAGGGTGCGTGCGCCCCGCCTTCGGGCCAGGCTCACCAAAGCTCATTCCTCCCTCTTCTTTTGCAAGTTTGGGGACACAGTGGGGACTCCCACAAAAAGAAGGCAGCAAAACACTCTTTGATGTGAGCCTCAGCAGCCAAACATGTGTTTTAAACTACACACATGTAATGTGTGTAATCATAAGAGTGCGTAGAGTGAAACTCATAGTCCACACGTTTCACTCCTTGTATCCTGACCCTCTGAAAGGGGCAGAAGCTGGACCCCGCGCTCGGGGAAAGCAATTCTCCACTTTTCGAGAGTACTCTGAGCTTAGGCTCTAAGAAGGGGCTCAGGAAGGGCGAGCAGGTTTGCTTTAGTCTCAGGAGTGCTGAGGGCAAGTTCACGACGAGATGGGAGACCAGGTCCAGCTGCGCGCCCCCTCCCACCGCCGCAGGGCTAGCCAGCCCTCCGGGAGTCAGGGGGGCTGTAGGTCTGGCCTCGGGGCCAGCCAGGCTTGCCCTCCCTCTAGGAATCCGTTGGGACTCTGGGAAACTGTTCATTGCTTCCCTCTAATTTCCCCTTTTACTATAAAGTGTGAATCACTGTTGTAATTAAAACACCCAAACTGTTTCAAGTCCTATGGCAACATTTTAAAAAGCAAACTGCATACAAGCTGCTTTGATATTACAGCACCCCCCAGGCTATGTGGAGAGCCTCAGAGGCTGAGCATCAGTACTGCAATCACTTTCCACCCGCAGTCAGTACCTCCCCACGGGGCCGGGGGAGCGGCGGAGCGAGGCTGCAGCAAGGACGCGGCCCCGCCGGACAGGCAGAGCCACACGGCCTGCCCTGGCCTCTACTCCCCTCGGAGCACCGTGAGGCTCTCTCCTTTCCTCCCCGCGGACCACCTGCAGCCCCGTCCTCCTGCCAGCAACTCCGGAGCCCTCCGCTCCTCCTACCCCTGCCACACCTCACGTCCCTCCGACGTGAGGTCAAGGGCATCACAGGACACAACATCCCTAAGTCTTCCACACGAAGGTGGAAGGGCTCACAGACTTCCTGCTTCCGTCCCCCTGCTGGGGTGCTGATGGGGGTGGGACTGGGGTTCTTTAAGAGACGACTCCTGGGACTGAGGAGGCCTCCCAGCGGCTGCAAGGACGGAGCAAAGAGGAGGGGGCTTCCCACACCAGCGCCGACCCCGCCGGCAGAAAGGACACAGAGCGGCCCCAGCTTGAAGCTTTCTGTTGCGGCAGGTGGGGACTCGAGGCACAAACGTCCAGTCCGATTCGTCACGGACACCCCGGCCGTGCGCAGCCACGGACCCAGCCCTTACCTGAGTTACCACATAGAATCCAAAACTGTGGATATTGTAGAAATACCCGAACCCGAAGAGGGCGGTAAAAGCGCCGCTGGCTAGCATCCCAAATGTGAGGTAATACCGAATGGGCAGGCGCTCCCCTATGATGCCGCTGAGGACAGAGGAAAAAGAAGCAAACACGAGAATGAGAAGACAGACACACCCATGATGTGGAGGGCCCGTGATCTTTCCGGATGTTTCCATGCTGTTCTCGGAGATTTCAGAACTCGAATGCACTACGGTTTTCAGGAAGATTTCATCACAACTGTCTCCAGTGCAGCGCTTTAACCAGAAACTGGCCATCGGCAACGTCTTTTAAGACTTTATTTCTAGTAAGAACCACTGTCAAGTCCTAAACCTCAAACACTGTGACTTGCATATGACGGCTGCCAATTAAAACCACCAAAATCTCAGAATGCCTGGGGACTCCGTCGGGTAAGCATCTGACTCTTGGTTTTGGCTCAGGTCATGATCTCAGGGTCCTAAGATGGAGGCCTGTATCAGGCTCCGGGCTCAGCAGGGAGTCTGCTTGATCCCCACCCCCCCACCCCTCCGGCGCTCTCTCTCTGGAATGGATAAATAAAATCTTAAAAACAAAACAAAACAGCAAAAACTTGTTTGGCTAGTTAATCCTGCTTTTATATAAACAACGTCCAGTAAATGTGCACAGTATTTAAAAATGCTGATGTTCAGACTGTAGACGTGTGTCATGAAAAGGGCTCACTTGCGGCCTCGGGAAGGCTCTCAGCCCGGAGCTGTGGGTCACCTGCGCTCACACACCAGGCCGGATGGGCTCTGCCATCAGCTGCCCTCCTCCCGCCACCACCGTGAACCAGTCTGAAGACAGATTTTCTTTACATGAGGTCTGACACAGGGGGCTAGGGCCGCTATGCTCCTTTCCCAGCAATGTCACTCGATAATGAGCTGGCCTCATGGGACAATTCCTTCCCAGAGCTGACTGGGTGCTCAAATGAGATTGAAGCGGGTGAAGGGCCTGGTCCACGGCTGTCTGCTCAATAAAGCACCTCATGCCACGGGAAGTAGATGCCTGACGGCCCGGGGAGAAATGCCACTGTAGAGCCACTTGTCATTGTCACGTATTAAGTGAACAAACCCCAGAATAATTACAAGGGATTCAAAACTATGGATCTTCTTTCCTTCCACGTAACCATTCCGGGAGTAAAATAAATAAGAAACGTAATGCCTGTGAGCAATACTTAGGGAACTATCTCCAAAATTCTGCCCTTCATCTCAAGAACCAATACATCAGGAAACTTTTCCTTTTCAAGACCCCAAAGAGGGATGATCTACCTAGCACCATGCAAATGACTAAAGCAGAGGAAGTAATTTAAAATTAGGAACAACATTCAGGTCAAATTTTAAGTTGGGTAGAAACTGATCACCAACAAACTCAAGAGCATTCTAGAGCTAAACAAGTGATCTATTTCAACTTGCTGGCTTCAGAGAAGAGAAAACGTGTCCCAGAGGGGCCGGCTGACCTGCCTGACATCACAGGACAGAGCTAGTGCCATCGGCCAGGGCTGGCAAATTTCTCAGTCTTGCTATACAATATTGGGACCAAATTTAGTCTCTACTCCAAAGTTTTTAAAGAAAAGGCCTAATGGAATGGACGCCATTCCATATTACATCCAACTGATACAGGGACTAGGACTAAGGGCCATGCCGCACCTGCTGGGAAGGGCCTATGCTAATGAAGGCGCCCACTGTAGACGATTTACCTAACACACAGTTCATTTCACCAGCCATGTGCCCTGATGTCACTAAAAGGCCACGCAGAGAAGCAGTGCATGCCCTCGTTACAATCACGAGTCTGCTCCAGATTCTACATTAGACAGAATTTTGTAATAACCCTCATTAGCGGGTTGCGTGACAAATTACCAATAAGCAACAATAAAACCACCCTATTTAAAGCCTTCTTAACCTCAACACTCTTGATATATTGCACGGGGTCATTCTCTGTGGTGAGGGGCTGTCCTGTGCTGGAGCAAGCTTAGCAGCCCTGCTCTCTGCCCACTAGACGCCGGAAGCACCCCTTTCTCCTGTTGTGACAACCAACCACGCTTCCAGATCCTGCTCAGTGTTGCCTAGGGGAACATTGATCACTCCCAGGTGAGAACCACACGTAAATACCATTTTCTAGTAACTGAGAAAAACACATTCCAACCTTTGGGTCTTTTTATACTATAGGTTATTGGTGTCCGGTAAGACTGCAGTCTTTGGAGTATAGATATTTGACCTCAGGATGGAATATGGCCAGCCGCCTGGTTGCAACTCCTGCCCTACGAAGGCTAATGCTTACATCGCCTTCGCCTCAGCTGGGCTGTATTCTGTTTTGCGTCACATGCAGCAGGCTCCCGTATCCGTCCTTATTCATTCGTTCACTCAAACAAGTTCAGCAGCGCCATGCCAACAACAATAAAGCGGAGGGACATCCACTGCATCAACAGAAACTGCCTGACTGGGCACCGACCAACCACCAACTGCCCTGAGCTGGGGATGGGGGGCAGGTCTAGATGATGCCGCACTCTGGGTGGATATCAGGGAAGCTAACTATTTACAGGGATCCCCAAGATTCTCAAAGCTCTGGAGGATCTTTCAGTCTCTGAACAAAAGCCTCGTGAGCTAAGGGCCTTAGTCCCTACCATTTTTTTAAAACCTGGCTGGACTGAACAATGCCAGCTTTTAATCAGCCAATCACATGTCCTATTACCCACATACCATTTCCACCTTCCTAGGTCAATTCAGAATGGGGTAATGACCACATGTAAAGATGCTGGGAACGCTCCGTGGGCCAGGCTCTGTTCTGAGCATTCTACATGTATTAGCTCATTCAGTCCTCACCATGATCCTAAGGGTTAACTACCGTTCTCCCCATTTCACAAAGGGGAAACTGAGGCCCACAGAGGGGCAGTAACTTGCCCAAAGTTGTGTCAGTCAGCGCTAGAGTCGGGATTCATTCCCAGCAGCATGCCTCTGGGGTCCATGCCCCAAGCACAAGGAGGGCGGTGAGGCGCTCTGTGGGGCCGAGCTGGGCAGCCAGCATAAACAGCTCTGACGCTGGTGATCTGGGATGTGTGAAGAGATGGCAGCCCCAGAGACCAGAGCGGAGGATGCACTCTGCAGAGCATCCCCGGGAGCCACCAGCACCCTGTCCCTGGTGACCACATCAAGGCAGGGTTCACGGTGCACCTGAAACCCCAGGGCCCTGAGCGCCAACCCTGGGCGGTCCGCCCTGATCAGCACAATACCTGGGACATCTAAAATGGGCAGCTTTGCGGTGCCTTGGCCAACAGAGCACCCCGTGCCTGCTGGCTTTCACTTTGCCCTCGCCTCTGAGAAGAGACGGGAAGGGAAGCAACCTGCAGACATGTTCTGCGCCAAAGGGACGAGAACCAGCAAGGGACAGAGAACCCTAATGGACCTACCTCAGGTACATGCCAATGGCGTAGGCGCACAGAAACGAGTAATCCAGGGCCCCGAGCAGCTGCTGGTAGTTGTCCTGGTCTACACGGGATGAAAATCAACAGGAGACGGTGAGTACTGCTTACTTTTCACTCAACACCGTTTCTGTTCTGGGGCAGGACGATAAAACACACACACAAGCCCTGTACACTTGGGCGGTGCACTCGGACGGAGAATGGGGCCGTTTCCAGCGCAGAAGACCTGGCAGAACATCTGGCGGCTTCTTGACAAAGGCAAAGAAAGTCGCCACATTTTCAAATACTCACTAAACAAACATTTGGATTAGAGGAAATCCCCACTGCTCACTTGGTCCCAGGCCGGCCCCAGGCCAGCCCCAGGCCAGCCCCCGCCCCACGCCTCTGGGGGTCCCCCTGCCGTCCCCCACGGCTGATGCTCTGCAGATCCTCTTCCAGCTTCGACACAGATGAAATGCAAGGGATCTTCCGCAGATCCCCCAGGATGAGAATCTGCCAGGTGGCAGGGGCTCTGCACGCAGGTGTCCTACACGCAGTCGCGGAGGAGGGAGGACCAGCTGACGGGAGACCGCTGTCCCCGAGGGGCAGCCACACCCGAGACGGTGGTTCCTGCGGCTCAGACGGGCCAGGCCAGGGGTCCGGCAGCGCCCGTGCCCTCCATGCCCGCCGCCCAGCCACGGAGGAGCCGGAACCCCGGACCCGAGCGCGCCCGTGGGGCGGGGGGGACGGGCGGACAACTCACCGAATGGGGCCCAGCTGCAGTCCGTCTCATTGTGTGCTGGCTGGCGATGCGGGGAGCCACTGGCTTTCTGTCCCCAGCTGCTGAATCCGACCTGCCCCTCGTGCAGGATAGGGCAGTACCTGTGCAGCTCGCCCTAGGACGTCCGCGGGCGTCGGAGGCCAGAGGGAGAAAGTGCACTCAGGGAGGCTCCGCGGGCTCGCGGCCCAAAGCCCGCGCGGGCAACCTCGCCACGGGGGACTGAGGCCCCACGGGGGCGGCCTGTCTGCAGGACCCACGGCGTCCCCGCGGGGACCGAGGCTCGTCAGGCCCCTGGCCGCGCCCAGCCCTGAACACACACAGCCAACACAGGCCTACGCGGGGCCCCCAAAGCAGCCATACGGCTGGACGCGCCAGCTGCCGTCCTGGCAGCCCCTGTCCGCAGTGGAAGAATGGACCCATCGTGCCAGACGTGTACAACCAAACACTGCCCTGCGAAACACGAGAACAAGCCGCAGGTCCACGCGACCATGAGCACAAATCTCACAACAGAGGAAGCCTGACGCGGTGCAAACGGCAGGACTCCACTTGCGACACTGGAGAACAGGCCCCGAACCCTCGGTGGCACTGGTGGGGATTTGGTTACCTGCGGGAGGGTAACCATGGGAGACAGGGCACACGGATCCTGGAGCTGGAGCTGGAAGGGGGCCAGACCTGAGCCTAAGTGATGATTCCCCAGGCGGGCATGTAAATATTTGCCAGGCTAGATAGTTAAGATCTGTGGATGTTACTGTGTGCAAAACATATGTCAATAAAACAACAAGACAGCTGGGGCAGAAGGCCACCAGCCCACCAAGTTGTCCACGGCGCCAGCAGGCAGGCCAGGGGCAGAGGCGCTCAGGTGGAAAGGAAGCGTAAGGCTCAGGAGCTCTCTGGCTGACGGGTGTGGGGGCCTGAGCAAGCCGCTCCCACCCTGCCTCAGTGTGCCCGCCTGCAGACGGGGCGGCCCCTCCTCACCCACAGAACACTTCCTGGGATTGGCGATGCTGAACACCACGAGTCAGCACCGTGCTCGGGACGCGACGCCCCGTGAGGAAAGGTGGCCGTTGCAGTGGGGCTTGGAGGTGCCAGGAAGGGCTGGACGAGCGGTCACAGGGGACGTGTGCAGGGCACAGGGGATGCAGGGTGCTCCCGAGGAAGAGGGAACCCCACTTCCAGAAAAGTGCCACACGATGGCTGGGGCCCATCTTGTTATGGGGGAACCTCCATGCATCTGCCAGTCTGCCACTCAGCCCATGTCTACCCTCCCCTCCCCAGGCGCTCCCTGCCACCTGCTGTGCGTTTTCTGGGTTTTTCACTCCAAGTGACCCAGAGGAAGCAATCCTCCAATGGGAGGGCAGAAAGGAGGCAGCCTCAAGGTCAGGGAGGTGGCCCTTAGGGGGAGCAGGGGCCCTAAAGGGGCATACTTTACTGAGCTGCCACCTGAGAGAGGCAGGGGGTCTGGGGGGCACCAGGAAAGCTGGCCCCAGGAGGAGCGTTCCCCCCAGGTCAGGACACAGGGCAGCGGGCAAGGAGCTGCACCTTGGTGCACCGGGTCGGGGGCAGCCAGAGTCCTGCCCACAACCTTCCTTTGCTGGCACCCATTTCTTCAGAAGGGAGTCACCAAAGGGGCCGATCACCTCCAAGCGGCCGCCCTCGCCAAGGCTGAGGTCAGCCTGGGCTGGCCACCTCCTGGTTTTGCATGGACACACGCCACTGAGACCTGGCATGGCACACAGGACTCGGCCACTCTGTGGTCCTGTGGCTTTGTCATCATCGTTGGCCATTCTGCTAGAATTCAAACATTGCCTAAAAATTAGCTAAAGGCTCCGCTTTACAAATTCAGTTAAGTCTTTGCTAAATAACTTTCCTCTCGTCCTCCTTGGATTACTCAGAGCCCCCCTCTCCCCCTGCCTGTGCTCTGGGCTCACCCAGCAGGATGTGGCAGGGAACTGGGAGACTGAGGCCGAGCCCCTCCTTCCCGCATGCAGCGGGCAGTCTCACATTCCCCCATTCCCCTGATTCTATACTTGGTTCCTTCCCTTGGCCTGCAGAAGTCAGCCTTTCCCTGGGCCAGACCCTGCGCCTCACTGTCCTCCCCGTTCACCTCCCACGAAGAACGCTGTAGGCAGGCTGGGGCGGGGGGGCGGGGGTTGCTGCCTGCCGAGAGGGAGGGACCCCCATGTGCAGGGCCTTACATGGAAGCAAGTGGGGAGGAGGTTGCCGACCCCCGCTCCAAACGCGGTTTTCACATCCTCTCCCATCAGGTCAGATTCCCAGGGAGCAGCCGTTGTGAGAAACAGAAAAGATTGTTTCAGAAACAAGCAGAAAAGCGTTTCTGTTCTGGTTTGTCCCGCGGTGAGGGGACTCGGAGCTGGGACCCCGGTGCCAAGCTGCCGGCGGACCGCTCCTCCCCGTGGTGACTGGCGGCCATGGGCAGGGGGTCCCCCACTCACAGCCCGCCCCCTCCCCCTGGAAGCGCAATCTCCACCGCTCCAGGCCGCTGAAAGCTGCACGGAAGCAAGGAAAGACTCCATACTGCTCTGGTACAGCGCCCTGGGGATGCTTGCGTCACCACACGCTGCAGTTCAGCAACACCGCTATATTTTCATATTTCAGCGAGTTTTACTCCCCAGTCTGGTGTTTGAGGTAAAATTAAGGATTAATTAGACCAAGATGAACCGATCAGAAAAACGCTCAGCAGGTGAATGGGCGCATACCTCGTGACAGCATGGCAGCGCTCGGGACCTGTCCTTCACTTTCACAAAAGCAGTCGCCTTTGGCAGTGTTTACAGAGTGCTCTAACAGACAACAAGCACTAATCACACGGGGCAGCAGGCCGTCATTAAAAGCTGAGCAATCGGGGGCGCCTGGGTGGCTCAGATGGTTAAGCGTCTGCCTTCGGCTCAGGTCATGATCCCAGGGTTCTGGGATCGAGTCCCACATCGGGCTCCCCGCTCAGCGGGGAGCCTGCTTCTCCCTCTGACCCTCTCCCCTCTCATGCTGTTTCTCTCTCACTCGCTCTCTAAAAAAAAATAATAATAAAAAAAATAAATAAAATAAAAGCTGAGCAATCGGAAGACTACGTGGCGCGTGGCGTGCCGAGTACACGATCCTCGAGGTCGTCTACCACTGTCCGTGTGGCCCACGGAGGAAGAACAGCAAGAGTACACAGCAAAGGCCACGGGGACTGGAAGGCAGGGGCGGGGGTGGGAGAGGACTGCGTGCGGACGGGGGACACAGTGAGCAGCCACGGAGCCACAAGCAATGCAGGGCTGGGGGGAGCGGCGGGCAGGGGTGGCTCTGGGTGTTTGCGCCTGTCCCCCCCCCCCCGGCAGATCCCTCTCCAGCCCTGCCCCCACCCCCCCAGTGGGCAGCGAAAGGGAACCTCACGGGACCAGCGGGCAGCAGGACCCTTCCAAGGCACGCACCTACACAGAGGTACATGCAGGAAGACAGCTGTGTAAGCTTGGAACCGGAGCGACTACTCGACCAGAACCCCAGCCCGCCGGCACCCGGGCCCGGGCCTTCCAGCCCCCAGAACTGTGAGCAGTAAATCTCCGCTGCCGAGAAGCCACAGCGGCCACGGGATTCTGTGAGAGCAGCCGGAGTGCCTGAGACCAGGCTGGCCGAGCCGCCCCCACAGCAGGACCTGCGCGGGGTCAGGTGCTCTGAGGGAACACAGGTGCCACGGGATAGTGGGCAAACACATCCCGACAGGTGTACGCAGAGAGGGAGGGGAGCTTTCTGCTCATGGCTGATTTTTCAAAACTGGAATCCTTCTGTACAGACTTATGGACACCTTAACTCCTCTTACTCAACATATCCCTTTCTGAAATCTTTCTGTGTCAACGGGTGTGGCTCTAATTCATTTTTTTAAAATTGTTTCCTTATTTATTTCCTTATTGATTTATTTTTTAGAGGTTTTTTTTTTTTTTTTTTTTTTTTTAGGAATCTCTACACCCAACATGGGGCTCGAACTCACGACCCCAAGGATCGAGAGCTGCACCCTCTTCTGACTGAGCCAGCCAGGAGCCCCTCTTAATTCTAAGTGGTTGCACATGTCAGAATGTGGACTGACCATAATTTACTCAAACTTCCACCTGCTGATTAGGGTCACATAATATGCGGGGTTTTTTTTTTTCCCTTTTTCCTTTTTTTTTTGAATTGCAAATGTTCCAATGAAGGCCACTTATGGAGATTCTCCTAAGTGTGGACGCTTTCATTTTCACGGGCCAGGGTCGCAGGGCTGAAGGGTGCATACAGGTGTTCGCAGAATACTCCCCGGGAGCCTGCAGCCCTGCACTCCCATCGGCGGCGCCCGGCTGTCTTCCCCTCCTTGCTGCCCTTGCCGCCCTCTGGCCGTGACCCGGGCTGGTGCGCTGTCAGGTGTTTGGACGGTGGGTGTAAGGCGATCTAGTGCTACTTTCACCAGCCTTCACCTCATCCAGTTTGGCAAGATTCCGGCTCCCTGTCTGTGAACTACCTCTCCACCCTCTCTGGCCGTCCTCCTTCAGGTTTGCCAACCTCACACCCACCCCTCAGATGGACATAATTTTGTTCTTGGTTTTTTACTTATTCACCACACTTAAATCTTTAATCCATCCATCTATTTTTATAAAATAGGGATTCAACTTTATTCTTCTAGATGAATAGCCAGCCGTGCTCATGCCATTTGCTAAATAAGCTACACTTTTCCAACCATCCATTCTCTTCCACTGACCTCTTGGTCTGTTCTCATGCCATACCATAAAAATTTGATTACGGTGGCTTAAAAATGCTATCTTTTCCACACTTCCCTTGGACATTTTTCTACACAAATTCTTGGATGAGTTTGTTCACTGCCGAGACATTCCATGGGAGCTGCCTTCTGTTGCAGCGTTCATCCCGGGACACTGGCCTTCCCGGAGAGCAAGCTTCCCACCCAAAGTCAGGGTGTGCCCCACCAGCTTTCCCAGCTGTCTTCCATCTGCCACTGAGCGCTTCACAGCTCCCTCCTTCCAGGCTGCGTGTGTGCAGAGAGGGCTGGGCACTCACACTCAGACCAGTCGGGGGTCACTGATCCCGTGGGGGCACATGGAAAGGAGGAGGTGCACCTGCGCCCCCCCGCCCCGGCTCCTGGACCGTGTCCATCGCTACCACCTTTGTTTCTTTTGGCCACACTGAAATGACATTTGTCATGCCACTCTTCAAATGTCATTAAAGAACGTGAACCATTTTATAATTCACAACCACTGTTGATCAATTCCAGGTAAGCACAAATATTTTCATTTTGTTTTGCTTATCTCATGTTAGGAAATATAGGCTACAGATAATTCAAACTACTCCTTGGGTCACCAGATCCACCCCTAGTTCTAGTTTTATAAATAAGATGCGCTAAAAGCATGTAAAAGCCTTGGAAGGCATTACAAAGTTTAAGTTAGCGTGTGTAGTGGGACATCCTTATCTATCTCAGGAGACCCCACGTGAGGCCAATCCATGTCCAAGCACAACTAAGGTACTAAGTCTGAAGATCTGTGTGTGGAAGAAGATCGGCTGTGGGGCTGCGGATACACTCGGGTAATTCAATGCCCTGCAGACCCCGTGGCATAGAGCTTGAGAGCAGAGACCCTGCCCAGTTCACTGGAGCTCGCACTGCCCTGCAGGAGGGGACGGCACGCCTGAGTCCCCGGCCGCTGTGAGGACTCCGTTAAATGAGCAGGTGCACTGTGCCGCACCACGGGCTTCAGCAAGCCCTGTGACTGAGAGAATGCTTCCAGAAGAGCCGATGGGACCCTGCTTCATCGTGACACTGCCCCAGTAAGCCCCAAGCTCCCAACAGGAAAGCTGGGAGGGTGCCCTATAGCACTGCTACGTCCGTTCCTGGCTACATAAGGCCCTCGAGATATAGCATCCAATCCAAGTGTCCTGTCCTGCCGCAAAGATCCCGCCTTCCCCACACTGCCTGTGGCCCAGCAGAGCCTCTGCCCACGAGGCTGGGGCTTCATGGTGAGGGCCCATCCTCCATCTGCTACTCCAGGCGTCCACCTCTCCCATCCAAGCTTGATCCCAAGCTGAAACCCCAGCAGGTTCCCAACCACTCCTCCTTTAGCCCCATGGCGCTCACTGGGACCTCTCCAACAGTCTCCTCCATGAAGGGCATGGAAGGCTTAAGGTCAAGGAGGAATTGTAGGATCCTTTGCATAGATGGATGCTACTTAACGTCCACTGGGCATCACTGGAGAATGGGGAATACAAAACTGTCCATAGAAGCAACGGCCTTGCTTGGCATTGCCTCTCCCATTGGCTGGAAGACCGAGGCCAGCACTCAACCACTCAGTGGGAATGGAGGAAGCGTGGCCGCAGTGGTCAGAATTACAGTGCTGGATCCGTGTCCCTGCCCACGCCTAGGCGAGGGAGGAGGCAATTGGGCTTTAAGTAAGCACTCTTTGGCACCGGACAATTTCCTTGTTCCTTCTACAATCGAGAATCAAAAGCCTGTTAAGAGTTTATAGGCAAAATGATGTCATTCCTATGAGGGTAAGAAAATTATCCTGCTTCTTCCCCAGTTATAACTGGCTATTAGGTAGGATTGTCTACTTTAATCTTCTTCTCTCCAAGTGTAGTTAAATGTCTGCTGAGCAACTTCCTGCTCACCCATCACTCAAACAGAAGCTCGGGGTTCTAAGAATAATAGAGAGCCACCACCACAGCCAGACTCAGAATCAGAGCACAATGATAAGAGAGGCACTTCCGGGAACAATTTAAAACTGGATATATTCAGAGGGAAAATTCACAGAATAAATACTTAATTAAGCTTTAGAATTCTGCAGCTGTCAATTAATATAACTGAAAGTATATCACCTCTAAAATGATAAACCTAAAAGCATGTCAAAGATTTTCGTTTCAGAAAAGAGAAACTAACAATCAAAGCACAATAACTTGCTTCTAAACCATCTTGTTTCTCCATTTATCTCACTGCCCTCCCCCCACCCCTTCCCCCACTCCCAAAATGGCTCCTAAAGTAACTACCAGTTCCTCATAGAAATTACAGGCAGGATATGAAATGGGGTGCTTTTTATGATTTCTTACCTTAACTATGCTGATAGGCTTTCGGGATAAGTGGAAACTTGCATACAGCAAAAATGTCAAAATAAAAATGAAGGCTCTGTACCTGAAACACAAAACAGAGGTAGGGGATGACATAAAATAATATAAGATGCAGTAAGAATACGTTACATTTCCCTTGCCTCTGGAGACATATCCAGAAAATGTTGCCAGGGCCAATGTCCAGAGAATTTACTGCTTGTGCCCTCTTCCAGGATTTTTATGGTGTCAGGTCTCACATTTAGGTCTTTCGTCCATTTTGAGTTTATTTTTGTGTATGGTGTAAGAAAGCGGTCCAGTTTCATTCTTTTGCATGTGGCTGTCCGGTTTTCCCAACACCATCTGTTGAAGAGACTGTCTTTTTCCTGTTGCATATTCTTGCCTCCTTTGTTGAAGATTAGATGACCATAGAGTTGTGGGTCCATTTCTGGGTTCTCTATTCTGTTCCATTGATCTATGTGTCCATTTTGTGCCGGCACCATACTGTTCTGATTACTGCAGCTTTTGTAGTGTATCTTGAAATCTTGGATTGTGATACCTCCAGTTTTGTTTTTCTTTTTCAAGACTGCTCTGGCTATTTGGGGGGTTTTGTGGTTCCACACACATTTTAGGATTGTTTGTTCTAGTTCTGTGAAAAACGTTGTTGGTATTTTGATAGGGACTGCATTGAATCTATAGATTGCTTTGGGTAGTGTGGCCATTTTAACAATATTTGTTCTTCCAATCCATGAGCATGGAATGTCTTTCCATTCTTTGTGTCATCTTCAATTTCTTTTACCAGGGTTTTATAGTTTTCAGAGTATAGGTCTTTCACCTCTTTGGTTAAGTTTATTCCTAGATATTTTATTGGTTTTGGTACAATTGTAAATGGGATTGTTTCCTTAATTTCACTTCCTGCTGCTTCATTATTATTGTATAGAAATGCAACAGATTTCTGACTGTTAATTTTGTACCCTGCGACTTTACTGAATTCATGTATCAGTTCTAGCAGTTTTTTTGGTAGAGTCTTTTCAGGTTTTCTATACAGAGTATCATGTCATCTGCAAATAGAGAGAGCTTTACTTCTTCCTTACCAATTTGGATGCCTCTTATTTCTTTTTGTTATCTGATTGCTGAGGCTAAGAATTCCAGTACTATGTAGAGTAACAGTGGTAAGAATGGACATCCTTGTCTTGTTCCTGACCTTAGGGGAAAAGCTCTCAGTTTTTCCTCATTGAGTATGATGTTTGCTGTGGGTTTTTCATATAAGGCCTTTATTATGTTGAGGTATGTTCCCTCTAGACCTACTTTGTTGAGGGTTTTTATTATGAATGGGTGTTGTACTTTGTCAGATGCTTTTTCTGCGTCTACTGAAATGATCATAAGGTTTGTATATTTTCTCTTATTGATATTACGTATCATGTTGATTGTTTTGAATATTGAGCCACCCTTACATCCCAGGAATAAATCCCACCTGATTGTGATACATGATTTTTCTGATATATTGTTGGACTTGGTTTGCTAATATTTTGTTGAGGACTTTCACATCTATATTCATGAGAAATATTGGTCTGAAGAGATAAAAATCCTTGAAGAGAGCACATGCAGTACTTTCTCTGACATCGACCATAGCAACATCCTTCTAGATAGGTCTCCTGAGACAAGGGAAATAAAAGCAAAAATAAACTATTGGGACTTCATCAAGATAAAAAGCTTCTGCACAGCCAAGGAAACAGTCAATAAAACTAAAAGACAACCTACTGAATGGGAGAAGATATTTGCAAATGACATACCTGATAAAGGGTTAGTATCCAAAATACATGAAGAACTTATACAACTCAACACCAAACAATAAACAATCCAATTTAAAAATAGGCAGAAGACATGAACAGACATTTCTCCAAAGAAGACCTACAGATGGCCAACAGACACGCGGGAAGATGCTCAACATCACTCATCATCAGGGAAATGCAAATCAAAACTACAATGAGATACCACCTCATACCTGTCAGAATGTTTAAAATGAATAAGTCAGGAAATGATAGATGTTGGCGAGGATGCGGAGAAAGGGGAACCTTCCTACACTGTTGGTGGGAATGCAAACTGGGTGCAGCCACTCTGGAAAACAGTATGAAGGTTCCTCAAAAAGTTAAAAATAAAACTATCCTACCACCCAGCATTGGCACTACTGGGTATTTACACAAAAAATACAAAAACACAAATTCAAAGGGATACATGCATCCCTACATTTATAGCAGCATTACCTACAGTAGCCAAGATAATGGAAGCAGCCCAAGTATCCACAGAGAGATGAATGGATAAAGAAGTGGTGCGTGTGTGTGTGTGTGTGTGTGTAATGGAATATTACTTAGCCCTAAAAAAGAATGAAATCTTGCCATTTGCAATGACATGGATGGATCTAGAGAGTACTATGCTAAGTGAAAAAAGTCAAAGAAAGACAAATACTATATGATCTCACTCATATGTGGAATTTAAGAAACAAAACAGATGAGCAAAGGGGAAAAAAGAGAAAAAGAGAGAGAGAGACACAAACCAAGAAACTGACTCATAACTCTAGAGAACACACTGATGGTTACCAGAGGGAAAGTAGGCAGGCGGATGGGTGAACTAGGTGATGGGGATTAAGGAGGAGTGCACTTATTATGATTAAAATAAATAAACAAACAAACAAACAAATAATACATTATAACTGTACTTTAAATTGTCTTAGGTTATGTATTATTCACTCAGTCCTATATCAATTATTTATCCTATTTTCAACATCACCATAATACTACATTTAAAAATTTTGCCACTTTTGCTTTGTGCAACTGAAACTGTTTAAATATTCTTAAAAAAAAAATAACCACAATCAAAGAGAAATTTGGGACACAGAAGTGAACAGAGTTCACAAAGTAAACAGAAAGAAACCATTAACTGGTTTGTAAGAGAATTAACTACAAATTTCTTGTAAGCCTGTATCCTGGGCATTTAAGGTCCTATCTATTTTTTACCTTTAGCTTCTGTGCAACTTTTTCAAAAGATACATGCAAGGCAGGAATATAAATATCTCACTGACCTCCATGAGAAAGTCAGTGACGCAGACATGCTATGAACAAGGCTGATGACATAAGAAAGCCTGGCCTAAGGCCCTGCTGCTCTTCTTGGTTTATGCGAAAAGCAGCCCAAGAGTAAGACTGAAATGAATCAGAGACTAGAGAAAAGAAGATACTTGGGCAAGAAGAGAAAGGTTCATTCCAGCCTCAAAGTTTGAACCACTCTCTAGAAAAGTACTTCTTGGGGAAGAAAAGAGGTCATCGGGAAGAGTAGCAAGAGAGGAGAGCAGGGCCCCCCCCACACCCAGGAAGGCAAGGCCGGCCCCTCGTTTCAGGAGGCACAGCCCTTAGCCCCAAAGAACCTGCCTGTTTCTGGCCTAAGAAGGCCAGTGACTTTCAGAGAGAGTGCCTGCCTGAGGGGACAGTCACCCACGGCGGAGGTATGGGTGGCAGAAGGGCACAAGGCAGGGCTCCAGCTCTGCGGGGACCCTGAGCTGACCCCACCTGGGCACAGGGTTCCCTTTTGCAATCTCCACAAGGAGCATGAACAACGTTCTGGGACTGAGTCAGCCCCAGCACCTCCCAGATCAGAGTCTCAGGGAAGAGTCTGGAGCCCTCGAGGATGCTACAGGACACCTCTTCACAGGTGTATTATCAACAGGAGAATGTGAATTTCATCGTCACCCAGCTAAGGATTTTGAGAGAGTGGCTCAACTTCAATGGGCCTTGGTTCATGCTCTCTAGTCTCAAACCAGACATAAATAGAATATTCTATGTACAAATAGTTCACCCTTATTGAATGCATTAATATATTTATTAAATAGAACAAATAAGCCCAGAAATAAAGAGCTCCTCTGTGTGTCCAGATCATGTCTGAAGAGCCCCAGGGGCCCTGATACATGTGCATTCCTAGATGGTAAAGTCTGTCTAGGTTATCGGGACTTAGTGGCCCACCTGGACCTCCAGCCTCCACCTCTGGGCTGCCGTCCTCCTTCCCTGGGCCTCCACGTTCATTCCCCAGGCTGCTGCCTCCTTCCCTAACGGGCAGCTCTACATGTAGCTCTCACCAGCGCAGGGCCCGGTGGGATGAAGGAGGTTCCCCTGACTGTCCCTCGCTGGGGGACGCCTCATGAGTAAAGGGGCCACAGAGGGGGCAGTACATGGGTTCCAGACTGAACTGAACTTTCCTTGATGAATCAGCCTCTTTGGGGCGGGTAACTGCCTACAGGTTGGCAGGGCTCTCTGGGAGAAGCTGTCCCGCAGTCAGGGCAATGGGTGAACCTACACAGCAAACTGGAATTTTCCTGGAGACAGAACCTACAGCTCCTAAACAGGAAAACCCTATCTATTTAGCCGGTATCAGGGCCAACTCTAGTTCCCCTATTTCCAAATCTGTCCTTCCTCCCTTCCTTTCCTCATCTTGCTTACATGGGATCTTGGGAGGGGGGGATGTGGTGAGAAGAGCCAGCAGCCCAGGCTGACTGTTCCCTCCCAGAAGGTCTGACCACAGCAGCCGTGTCAATATATACCTGTCCTGGAGACTGAGCAGACATTTTACTTCTGTGGGATTACCTGGGGTCATGGGACCAAAGTCCTACACAACCTTCCTGACTCTTTTTCCCACTTTGTAATTAATTCTATCCTCATTTTCTGTCTTCCTATATCCTTTACGAAGCAGGATTGTGGATGATAATTGTTTTCTATTATCCATTTTGCGCTGGGTTGAACCCTGTGCCCCCCAAATTCAAGTCCATCCAAAAACCTCAGAACGTGACCTTATTTGGAAATTGAGTCCTGTGGATGTAATTAGTTAAGATGAGGCCATACTGAACCCATGTATGACCTCAGATCACATGAGATCCTAAATCCAATGACTGACGTCCCTATAAAGGCCGTATGAAGATGCAGGGACAGACAGGGAAGACGGCCAAGGGACTGCAGAGG